AATTAACGAACTTCTGGGGAAAAATAATAGAGCGAACAATATTTCCCAGTTAAAAATAGACGAAAATATTATTTCTGACGATATAAAAATGGCAGAGTCCTTTAACGAACACTTCGTGAGTATTGGGGCTAAATTAGCCGCCGAAATTGAGAATAATTCCTTGGACCCAAGTGGGTCAGAAAATGTCAATTCCCAATCAGATATACAATTTAGATTTTCAGAAATTAATGTGCATGATGTATTCCTTCAGTTATATAGACTTAAAACATCAAAATCGACAGGCATTGATACTATTCCAGCAAGGGCACTCAAAATTTCAGCTGAAGTAATTAGCCCATCATTAACGTGGATATTTAACCTCTCGATTAGAACTGGAATCTATGTAGACGAATGGAAAAAAGCTTGGGTTCTACCGATTTTTAAATCTGAAGACAGACAAAAGCGCGAAAATTATCGCCCAATTTCAATTTTACCAATTATTAGCAAAATTTTTGAGCGTTCTGTTTTCAACCAATTGTATGAATTTTTGAGTGAGAACTCTTTGCTTTCTAAGTATCAATCTGGATTCCGCCCAAAGAATTCGACTTTGACTGCACTTATTCAAATGTGTGAAGCATGGTACGAAAATATAGATAATGGCGACTTGAATGGTGTAGTTTTTCTTGATATTAGGAAAGCTTTTGATTCAATTAATCACAATATCTTATTGCACAAAATGAAAGATCAATTTGGAGTTTCAAATATTGAATTGAAGTGGTTTGAATCTTATATTTCTGATAGGGAACAAGTATGTTTTGTCAACGGCACGATATCAACGCCAAAAAAGATAGTCTGTGGGGTTCCTCAGGGATCCATCTTAGGACCATTATTGTTTTTACTTTACATTAACGATCTCCCAGATTGTCTCGATAACACCACCCCGTGCTTATATGCTGATGATACGCAGATGTTTTCAACAGCAAAGGATTCAGCAGAACTTATCTCCAAGTTAAATAGCGATTTGAATAAAATCAGCCAGTGGCTAAAAAGTAACAAATTACAGCACCATTCAACCAAAACTAAATTTATGTACGTTGGATCAAAGCATAATCTTCTTAAGATCAATGATGATATTCCTGTAATGCTAAATAGCAAACCTATTCCCAGAGTATATTCAATCTCTTGTCTGGGCGTTACCCTTGATGAAACATTAAGTTGGGAAGAACACATTGAAACGATTTGCAAAAAAGTTGGGGCAGGTATAGGAACGTTAAAACGCGTCAAGCCTTATGTTCCTGGAAACATGTTGCAATCGATTTATAAAGCTTTGATACAACCTTATTTCGATTATTGCTCTCCCCTTTGGGATACCTGCAACAAGACATTGAAAGATAAGCTGCAAAAATTTCAAAATCGGGCAGCTCGAATAATAGCCGGCGCTAGCTATGAAATTAGGTCTGCAGATATTCTTCGGGCACTTGACTGGGAAAATTTAGATTCCAGACGAAGTATGACCAAGGCAGCATTATTATATAAAATTTTGAATGATTATACCGCACCTAATTTGAAAGAATTATTCATCAGGAGGAATCTTTTGCAAAATAATTATGACCTCAGAAACTGTCACATTGATTTGGCTCTTCCAAAACCGAGACGAGAATTTCTGAAAAAAAGTTTTAAGTACAGTGGTGCTAAACTTTGGAATAATCTTTCGCAAGAAGCTAAGGAAGCGCAATCTATTTATTCTTTCAAAAATATTGTAAAGCAAATGAATTGTTAAATAGAATTAAGATTCAATCATGTACAGATCTTAGCATACGGCCGGATCACACCAACTTAATCTATTTTCTTACTTATATATTTCTCTTTTGTAAATAGCTATTTAGATATATTATTATCTTTTGTAAATGTTCTATTGTGTTTTGGACGCCCCTTATGGAAACCAACTTTTGTTGATAAGGCTAGCGTCATTAAAGAAGGTTTTACATACATACATACATACATACATAAACTCGCGACGATCGCGCGCGAAAAACAATCAGATGAAACCTTATCTGCGAAGTACAAACTCTACGATCATCCAGAAAATTGTACGGCGTTTATCCCAGTACGTGTCAATCCCCCGATATGGGACTCGGATAAATTGAAGTCTGAAAGTAGGTCTTTAGACTTAAAGTTTCAGAAGATTCAGACGGCGCTCACCAAGAGCTTAATAGCCATGGTGCAGGTAACGGACACCCTCACTAAGTCACTGGCAACCTTGGAGAACGAAAAGAAAGACGTCCCTTCTACCGCGGAATTAATCCGAAAAATGACCGACGCTGTTGCCTTTACCACAGTCAGGCTAACCACGAGCTTTATACCAAACGCCGTAAGTGCATTAAACCAGAGCTACATCAGGAGTATCGGCCGTTGTGCTCCCCTTCCAATCCAGTTATCGAATGGCTATTTGGGGATGACCTATCAAAGTCGGTCAACGGGTTTCTTATGGTCGTCAATTCGATAGAATCTCCAATTCGAGATACTCTGGCCCTAGAGGAGGGCGGTAAAACCAAAAACATTTTTCCGACCGGCGCCGCTTCAACGCATCCGGGAAACGCGGGAACTTCAAACCACCAATGGCACGTCAGTAAATGTAAGTAATCTTTACGTGACTTCTTTATCTCCTATACCACATGTTTGTGCAACAAAAATTGAGAGCGGGTTAGAATTTCTCACTACTCTGTTCGACAGTGGCCTCTGGCTTTGGCGCAATTAACACCGCCCGATCCGCTATTTCATCTGATCCGATATTTTCAAACCGCATAGCACAAGAGCAGAGGCACAAGAGCGGCCTCGGCGTCTGCAGCATCGCAAGCTGAACAGCCAATCAATGAAATCTTGAAGGTTGCAGGTTGGAAATCTGACTGCTAAGTATTACAACAAGACTATTATTCAATCAAATTCAAAATATGCTAACAAGGTTCTATCAACTTAATATATTATATGTATTACATCTGTTTCGTGGCTAAGCGGGTGATGAGGTAGAATATGAAAATCAAACGAGACTTACCTGTAAGTCGAAGTTTGATTGTCATTCTGCCGAATCACCCAGAGCGCTTAGGGATTACGTGCCCTCCACAAAGGGGTATTTCCCACCCAAATTCTGGTGGGTTGCGTGGCACACAGTTCCTGCGTTAATGCACTGACTAAGTTGCGTGATCGCTGTGCTTCTCACGTAATCCCTAAGCGCAGCGGGTGATTCGACTTACAGGTAAGTCTTGTTTAATTTTCATATTTTGGAGTGTGAATCTTGTCGACCCCAATACGCAGGGGCAGAGCCTTTTCATGGTAATAATAAGAATCCGTTCGCGCCTTGAAAGTCGCAAATCTTTAAGGCGATTCTCCATTACGCACGCTTCGCCCGCGCGGGCGAGGCGCGCTTTGTTTTTCAGGCCGGTCACGGTCTCATGGCAGCCTCGTCCCCGGCGCGTGTTTTATTTAATCGGTGATTAATCGCGTAGTAATGTTTGTCTCGCGGGAAGACACGCACGAAGCGACAGCATATTTTTACGCTAATGTTTCAATTTTGTTACGCCTCTTATAAGCGATTTTGAATTCCAGAGGATAAGGCCCATTTCAGACGTCGAACTTTTCATGTGCCGAGGCCGAACCTAATGTTAATGAACTAAAGTCTTTGTTTAAGTTCATTAACTCGCATTGCGCAAGCGAGTTCTTAAAATGGGAAGCGTTCTTATTAATATTTTTACGGTCGAGAATTTCGCGACTTGCAAGGTGCGATAAGGTGCGCTGACCTGCAAGCATGCTGCACTGCATGATTAACATGCATGCTGCACTGCTGAGTGCATTCGTTCATGACGTTCATCGTTCTCTTGTGGACAAAAGACGATAAAAATTCAAGATATTTCGAAATGTGGCTTCCAAGTGCCACATTTATCTTAACGCTCACCTTACATACAACTGCACACGCCGAGCACAGTAGCCCTACACTAAAAGATGCCGAGTGTTTTCGAAACGGGGTGTTCTGTTGCTCTCATGCTTTTCAACTTCATATTGAACCAAAGTTGCTTAATATCGCTATGAATTCTCTGATCAAACTGAATACAATTTAAAATCAATCTCACGAGTTCTCACTAGTACTATCAATTGAAAACAATACAACGACGTTGTCAATGAACTGTGCCATGACGTGATACGAATATCTGAACAAGACTAACTCCACTGTGCAACAAGACTAACTTCACAGCGCAATTAAATTTATCCAATGCTCTCCCCACTTTCACGCCCGTTACGTTCCGTTGCATCACGGAATATCATAATATATGCATCACCGTGGTTGCATAGCTGAACAACTATGGCAAGCCCAAACACACGCCTGAGTAACTAAGCGTCTTTTTACTCCGGCGTCAGCGACGGAGTTGAAAATTCGCCTCGGCTTTGTTTTGTTTTTGTTTTTATTATTTTTCGTCGTCGCAAGTCTGAAATGGCGCGAAACATTCTAGTATTTAAAATGTGTATGTGATTGGATTTATCTATGTCCCAGTCTTGTCTCCCAAGAGTTGTGGTGCACAGCTTTGGCAAATTTTCCGATGCGCGATTCGATTTCGCTCGCATGATACGGCAATTCCTCCAAGAGGAACAAATAAACCGTTGTTTTCATGCTGTTCGATTAAGTTTAGATTGAATTGGGGTAAGAATATATTTAATACATGTAGATTCTGTTCCTATTTTAATAATATCGCTGCTATTTCGCCGTTTAATAAGATGATGTAGTCGTGTATGGGCGCGTTGACACGTCGTAGTTTGCACAGGATTGAAGATTTAATATAACTGTATAAGCGCCTATTCCAAAAGCAAAGTGTAAGACAAAGCGAATGTATCATGCGGTTTATTTACATTTTTGAACAATTGAACTTCTACACTTTTTAAAGTACGATGTGCTTCTAAATTTCGCAATCGAACATTTATAGGTTCGCAACTCGCAAGGCATCTAAATGCGAATATGAACTGTATTGTTTATGTTCAGAAGCTCTATATTAAAGACTGGTGTGCCGGAGTTAACGCCAGATCAGGCGTCTTGTTTGTCATAGCCCTAGCTCGACTCAAGCAATGCGAGTTTAATGCCTAGCGGGCATCTTGTTTGCATTTGATTTGGCGCATGAAAAGTTCGACGTCTGAACCTAACTATAACAAAAGATAAGTAATCCAAAAATTCCTACGAGTTGCATAGCTTATGTCCACTCACTACAATAGTGAATGACACCATACTTCTGACATAATTCCTCATAATACGATACTTTATCATACGTCTTATAATCCTCAGTCAATTCTTCACCTATATTAACATCTCTCGTTGTATAGTCAAGACCATTCTCCCTAGTAACTACGTTAGGATCATTTGAATGATTGACCATCGAGATATCTAGTTCCGCCATATCAATTTTCATCAAGCCATCCAAACAATAAATATGTTCCAACCACCAGCGTCGTTCGTTGTCATTAGGAACAGCTTCAAGAAATTCAATAGCTTGTTCCCTTGTGAAAGTTATTTCTTCACGATCAACATCTACTCGCGTGCCTGCCGGTAAAAATTCGGCTGAGAATACGCCAATTCCTCGACCGTTCGTACACATTTTTAGATCAGCTTTTACAGCGAAGCCTACAGCCGGCCGTGGAAGATCCTTGAGGCTTTCTAAGAAATCTCTCACAACGTTTCCTTTCGCTATCTCTATAACGGTATCAAGGCAGCGGCGCTTTTGTGTAGCTATTCTCTCAGACATTTTGTGAACACGCTCAAATGAGTCAAATAGAAGCCCTATATACAGATATCGTTTGCATGCATAATATGCATATGATGAATAATTTATTACAACATGAGCACGAAACTACGAACATTATCTGAAATTCAGGACATTAATTATCATAAAAGTTCATAATACCAGGATTTCGCAATGAAAGAATGCTGCCTGGTTATAATGGAATTATATAAGGTACGAGACAAAATTTGAAATTAAAGCAACTTCTATCTTACATATTGCAGTTGCCAACCTCGTTCCCAGGGCCTTTATTGAAAACGCGGAGGAGGGGAGAAGAGAAAAAGGCCCTGGCACCGGCTGGCATATGTAGCCATTTGATTGGTCAACTGTATCACGCAATTAATTTATGCGATAAGGAATATTTGCATAATTATGTCGAGAAAAAAACTAAGATAAGCGAAAAAATATCGGGATTGTAGTGTGCAAAAAAGTTATTACGAGTTTCTGTCTTTGAAAACCAGAATGGCAGAAACTCCAAAAAAGATAACAGCTCGGACGTCATGTCGACTGTGCGGCTCATTGTACGAAAGTCATCCGATTTAAACAAGCTTTCCGCTACTTTCATACGATGATCAACAAGCTGGAGAACTTCTGCCTCAATACCGATGTTCTTAGCAACCTTTAACTGGTCCTCGATGATTGCGTTTAAAGGACAGACAACAATAACGATATTTTTGTCAGCTTTGGTCGGCAAGAAATTTGGCAGAAGTTGAAACAGAAGAGATTTGCCAAAGCCAGTTGGTAAAACAGCAACGACGTCAAATCCGTTTAGTATGTGCTCAAAACATTTAATCTGTAACGGCTTTAAGACAAACGATGGGAAACCTCCCATATTTAAAGCATTATGAAGTCGCTGCAGCACGTGTAAGTGGTGTAAACACTTCGAAGGGTCGGCCATCTTGGAATATTTAATTATCGATTTAAAACCACGATTCGTGGTTTTAGAATCAGCCGGTGCCAGGGCCTTTTTCTCTTCTCCCCCCCTCCGCGTTTTCAATAAAGGCCCTGGGAACGAGGTTGTGCAGTTGCAGACTTCGGTTTAAGACGAGCAGTAACTCAGTACTTTTATGAATTTTTTTCTTCACATTTTTATATTACCTACCTTTAACAGGTTTCCCAGTAATGTCATTTCAGCAACTAACATTATATATACTTGCAATATATATAGTATAATGGTAGTATAATAATAGTGTAATAACGTAATAATATAATATATTATAATATAGTAAAAATAAATGCATCGTTCCGATTTTGACTCCGGATACTCCGTAGTCATTGCTAACGGTCTGGCATTCTTTAGTGCCATTAACTCGACCAACCTGCTTTGCGCGCTTAGTATTAAAAACTTGTTTATCTGGTTATCTACTAGCCAATTAATCGGCTATTCGTGCATCCGTGAGTCGTCTCATTGAGACCTTTGATTTAATCTTGCTATAGTGAAATAGACTGAATAGACTGTTATAACTGAAATTCTCTTTTTTCGTGGCTCAAAATTGTGTGAATGAGCCGGAACCAATAATTTGTTGAATTGGTTGCATTTGGATCTCTGAAGTCTGAACGAAAGTAAAAAGCTCTGATTCCACGGCCACGGGCGATATTTTAAAGCGAATTGCCGCGAAATATTTTGTCGTCTTTTTTCGAACTCTGAGCGATCAAGCAGAACGTACTGATTAATTCAAGTGGTCACAATTCAAAAAAAACAGGCGAAATATTTCGCATTTAGCCGAGAAAAAGCGCCCGTTTAATCAGTCCCAAATGTCGCTTTGCGCGAAAACTGCCGCTAGTAGTGGTGAAAACCTTAGTCTTGCTATGCAGATATTATTTTTTTCATTGTCAACACCAAAGTATTGGCATAGCAGGACTAAATTATTTATCCAAATTATTTTAATAGTATATACTGAATACGATGCAACTTTAAATGCCCTTTTCGTCAGGCAAATGCCCTAAAATTAAAGTTAATGCCCTCGAGCTAAAATGTGCTTCCTACACCTCAACACCCACCTTTCATCCAGACAGGTGTTCTTGAGTCGTGCATTTGATGTTGTCTCAGCAAACGATAACTAGGATGACTTTCTCTCTTTACTTTGTTCAACTTAGCTTGGTTCATGGTAAACCAGAGTTTCTTACACGCTCCTTTCTTCTCCAGTAAGGCGACCAACGATTGTAAGGTCCTTTCTCGAACGGTATCGTATTGGTTCGAGCGAGCAACACAACGTGTTCGCCCTGTGATAAAGGAACGCTTAATAAAGTTTTGTGGTAAGAGATTTCTGAAGGGGTTGCATAGGAGGTGGCCAGTTTACTGTAGACAGTGGCACCAGTTATGGTGGGGTGTACTAAACAAAGAAGATATATCATCAACGTCCCCTTATATAGAGTCCCCCCTCCTGGTAACCCCCATTACAAATTCGTTTCACAAAAAAAGTCCTATTTGAGTACTTTTGTAGTTTACAGGTTAGGGCCTGTTTACATGGAGCGAGTTATCCCGGCTAGGCGAGGTAAAAAGCGCTAACATCAAAGACTTATTAAACTGATTAGTCTTGCATTATATGCAATTGTCACCTCGCCTAGCCGGGATAACTCGCTCCATGTAAACAGGCCTTTTTTAACCTCAACAGCAACAGAGATGGCCTACGTACCTAAAAGCAAGTCAACCGTTTCAACTCTGGAATTCTTAGCCGCCATCAACAGAGGTGTCCTGTCTGAAGGTTGAGGTTCAAATGCGCGCACGTTTTCGTTCATCAGAGCTTGAACTATTTGATTGTGTCCTCGATGGGAGGCAATAAACAGAGCTACTGAACCTTTGTCTTTTGTACTGGGTTCAATTCGGTACGTGACAGGTGGTGCTGCTTCAGATAACTTCCGTGAGCTTATACCACAGTTAAGCACGGCTAAAAAATAACAAAATATCTTCAGATACGTTGCCTAGTTTGTGAATGGTACATCAGTTAAGGCCCATTTACACTATATGCGATTTGTCGTATACGATTCGTACCCTGGTGTATGTGATCGTGTAAAAACACGTACTAACGTGATATTTCAAATTCCGCCCTGAATAAAATGAGAAAGATTGCGAAATGGATTCTCTTTTGCATACGCAATTAGTTTACCCAGGGCTTTAATTATCAATGAATTCGTATCAATATTCCACTGTCTTGGTGAGCCTTACCTTGAAGGTCTCCTTTGCATGCAGCTCTAAGCAGAGGTCTCCATTCCGGCCAAAAACACATTTTCACTACAGCATTTGGTGTGATATGATAAAAAGATAATTTAGCATAATCCTCCATGTCGCACTCGTCAATATATCGTAGCCTTTGAATCTGTCTGCAGAGAAATGAAGGTAGTCAATATCATGAAGCCTTGGTTTAAATAAGTTGTGAACGTGAAAAGACTGGTACAAATTTGACTATATTTATTAGTCAGTAACCACCGACAATATCAATAGCTATCAACGATGTATGTGGGAACTAGTGCATGAAAATACGTATACTTGCCGTGGGATGCCAGTTTTCTCTTCAGCTCTGTCTTTCAACTCAAATACTGTGATGTCAGCAGATACCTCGACTGCATACTTTTCTTTAGACAGACTGACTCTCAGAAATATAATAAAATTTCGGGGCTTTTCCATTTTTCTTGAAGTCATGATGGCATAAATTTAATGCGCAAAGTGTTACGTCATGTAATTGTATAAAAATGAAATTAATTTCAAAGAGGCTACTTTTCGATGTCAAGTTGTAGTAGTGTAGCTGCCATATTTTCTCTACAGAGTAGTTAAACTACAAAAGTTTGTAGTCTCGTGGACCGTGGTTTGACCAATCGATCAAATGTCAATTAACATTCCTCAGTTGATTTTCTCTACAGCTGCACGAACGTAATAGTACGTAGTTTCCACTCGCAATGTACAAATTGGTTTTTATATCTCTTCTCGTAAATACTTATTTGTCATTTCGGCAGAAACCCTATTTTTGGAGTCGAAAACTCCTTAAACAAAATATCCTTGTTCCGTTTTGGTAGGTCTCATTAAGTTAATATCATGCATTAATAATTACAGAATATTATTATGAAGAAATCAAAGGGACGCCAATTATATAAACACTGGCTTCTTTATTCAGTAGTTTTCCAACTCTTCTAAGACTCAAAAAGAATGACAATAGAGTTTTTCACCTGAAAATTGTCTTGATCATATCAATTTCTATAAATGGTCTTCGGATCTTCTCTCTTCCGTCAGATTTCCCTTTTATAATGACAACTCAGAACTTCCTCTCTGTAGGATTAAGGTTGTCTCCCCCCCCCTGCTATTTCGCATCAGTCGCAAAACATTTGGGAATTGATGTAAAAGTGTCTTGTAGAAATTTTTTTCTAAAGGGAAATTATTTTTATAACTGTTTCTTTTATAGCAAATAATGGAGTAAATAAAGTTAGTTCACAATGTTTACAATAGGAATACGCGTGCCTTTTATAATCTTCCTAGCAGGGGGGGGAATCTTGCAAACTCCTGGTCCTGGGGCGAGCGTGCAAAGGGTAGAGGAAGTACTTGTCAAGGGTGGATTGTTGTGTTTTACTTTGTATTTTACTTCAAATTTCTTGCATAAAAATGGCTAAAGCATCTTTATCTACGCAGTTCAGGAAAGTTGACGTTGACGAGTTAGACGAGAATCAGTTTCAAGACGATCAGGGCGAAGATGCGGCGGAAAGTGGGCCAAATGAAAGCGAAGTGAACAACCTCATCTTACAGTATCCTTCATATTAAATATTATTATACAAACACGAAAATTATAAATCAGTCCATTCAAAAAATAGATCGTCTAGAGGAAATAAGCAATCATTAAGATTTTCGTCCTTGAAGATATTTAAAACTGTTTAAAAATGTCTGAATATATGAGAGTATATTTACCAATAATACCATGAACTCATATTTGTTCAAGGGGTGGGAAGTTAACCCCAGTAAGTGTAATGTAGCCTATATGGTATTGTAGCCTTAATATATTTTAAAGAAAAAACAACAAAGAGGCCCTTAAGGCAGTTCTTCGCAATCCACCTTTAGCATCAAAGAATCAATCCACAAAGGTTTGTTGTGAATAATCTTTTTACTGCAAGTAAAGTTATAGCAATAAATGTCTTCAGTTAAATGTTTTATGCTTATAACCTTTCATTGCAGGACAAAGCATTCAATTTGGTTATGAGAGTATTACAGGCTTTTAAAGCAAGCGAAATCGAGGCTGGGATTAAAGTCCTAGATAAAACAGAAGTGGATGTTTTAATGAAATACATTTATAAAGGTTTTGAAAAGTCATCAGACAATGCAAGTGCTATTTTGTTAGCTTGGCATGACAAGGTAACATTGAAGATTTGAGAAAAATCATTATTTGATATCTAATGGATCAGAACTGTTTTTGTATATTTGTTCTCCCTGATTAGTATTAATCAGTTAATTTGCACTTCAAATTTGACTTGTCGTAGGATAGATAATTAGTTCAAGCATATTGCCAGTTTATGAGTTGCTAGTATGTATTTTGAGAAGACATTATTAAAAATATCACAGATTGGGATTAGTATTAGAGATGATTAAGATTTAAGGTGATTAGGATTAGCAGGATTTTAGTTTAATTGCAGTTCACATGTTTATCTTATTTAGGCTGTAGCAGTTGGTGGAATTGGTTCAATTGTTCGTGCAATGTCTGACAGAAAAACTGTCTAAACTATCATATACTTAGCCAGGGTTTTTCTTGGAGAACTGAACACATTTTATAAACTCTATGACTCATCTCTATAAGTATAATACATTGACCTGTGATAAATAATTTTCTACTAAATATTTGTAAATTTATATTGTTGAATTAAAATGTCACATGTTATTAAAGTGATTACATCCATCTACTTCTGTTAGCTACTGAAACCATTGTGTTTACTGTTCGGAAATTATATCAAGCCCAGAATAAAAATTTCCAGCAGTCTGGAAACGATTCTTGCTTGCCTGCTCATTTTTTTCAATATAAAGGGTAGTATATTGCTGCATGGCCATTTTCACAAAACAGACTATGATGAAATGAATAACGTTTAGTTTGGCTTGGATAATCGCCTGTGCAATCTATGACATTAATTCCTCAGTCCTCACACTTTCTTACATAAAACCCGGGACGACAACACGTATGCGTACAAAAGAAATTCGACGGGCAGAACAGAATATATGAATATTCAAACCCTGCATGAAACCGTTGTCTACGACGCCTTCACTAATGCAAAAAGTAATTTGCAATTAAAAGACTGCCCTGAAATCAACAAAAAGCCTAACAATGTTCAATACTGTCAGGTCTGTTCACACGATCCATTTTTTTTTTATTCAATTCACTTCTGACGTATGGAATGTAGTCTGCTACTGCTGGCGATATCAGTGGACTGCTGCGGGCTCAAAAGTTTTTAGCTGCGCAGTTGCTACGTAGCCGCGCATGCGCAAGCTTCTACGAAAACGTGATCAGTGGTTGTGATTCAGTGGTTGTAATGTCATAATTATGTTTTTCATAATTATTGGCTGGATGCCGAGTTTCATTGCGCACGTTTTATTATTGGTTACGTTTTATCATGAATAATAAAATGATTAAAATCACTTTTAATCGTCTTTTAACTATCCATGGTTTCATTGGTATGTGTAGGCAGTGTAGGTACATTGATTTTGGAAGTGTTGTGTGGCAATATATACAAAAATATCAAACAAAGATTTAGATATTAACATGAGAAATTAAAAGTGTCCTTGACTTGCAGATCAAGACTTAACGTGTTTACCAGTATTTTCACAATCACAGGAAGCATTCACTTCGAACGCAAGTTTGGTTCAACCAATCGTTACTTATTTCCGGAAATGTTGACGTACGATCCGAAGGACTATTTTAGCAAGACGGTATTTGATCATCTTTTTATCGTTGTAAGTCATTACAAGTTGCACGGATTGTGAATTCCGAACCTGACACAAAGATGGCCTCGTTTTTCCTTAAAACAGGTTTATTGCTGCTGTTTTTTACCTCTTTGACATCGGCTGGTTTTCAGTTTGATGCAAAAACAACCTCAGGTGTAGGTATTTTTTATATATATTGTGTACTGAGTGAGTCCAGTGTTTTTATATTTGGCATTTTCGCGCAGCTAAAACATGCACCGCGGATCAATTTCCAGGCTTTCCAGTCACCCTGTCGGGGTTATATATACGCAACAATGCAATAATCGCATACTTTGTCAATTCAGGGATAGTTGATACCAAGCTAGATAGCGAATCAAACGCAAAGAGATGAGGTCACAGACTGCTCACTTCTTAATCTCCTATCTACTGATTTGACTGCATGCATGGGGATTGTTTTGTTATGAACGTTTCAATCCACGACAAGAACTCAACGCCATGCAGGCGGCCAGTTTATAGTACGGATAACGGAAATAAAATAATGATATCAATTTCTTGTATAATTATATTTAGTCCTGAGGAACGGACGGCCGCTCGTGCCACGGAGAGTTACGGCAGGTAAATCTTATCGTTAATAATTGAACGATTGTTCAATCTCAACGCGAAGTGGCTTTTGCTGTTTGGGTTAATCCAGACTTGCCGGCTTGCCTGGGCTGGATAGAGGGAGGTAGTAGAGAATTGTTAATAACAAATTAAATGTTAACTTTCTTAGCTCGGGGCATTTGCAGACGCCGATGCTGATGAATTGTATCCTTTATTGATTGCGAAGCTCGTTGCATGTGATAGATCCAATGTTGCATGTGTTGCATGGGACAAACATGGCATTTATGGCTAAAAAACTCATCACCATGCATCTGTGCATGCATGCAACTGCAATATCTTTCCAAACAGAAGTCAAACCTCATAGTCTTAAGTTTTCTATCCGTGCTTTCTTAGCAGGAAAGTAGTGCACCTTCACCCTCCGTCGTCACGGCTTTGCACTTATATATTAATGATATATATATCCAGTAGAGTGAACCATTGTCAGTATATTGACCAGAAAATCCCTTAACAATATTGCCCAGCCCGGAACTAAAGGTAGAACAGAAAAAAGATACAGAGCCAGAGGTAAATTGAATGATTTTATCATTTTATACCACCACTATGCCAACCTAAACTTGACAGATGTAAAACGAAGATCTCTTGATCTTCTTTTCTGGTTTTTCTTTAGTTTAAAGGCTGATTTCCATCTTTCCATTCAGTGCAGAGTGTCGCCTGATCGATTTTTGCGATTGCTTTCCGTTGAAATACAGACAATTAAACGGAACTAATCCCATTAGAATTATAATTAGAATAAGATGAGCGCAAATGAACACATTTCAAAAGAAACTAAATGACAATCATAAAAAATCGATCGTGCGATATTTTGCACTGAACGAAATTATAGAAACCGACTTAATTCCTGATCAGTCGTGTCTTTGAGCGACCGGTATTTAGACCAACAAATTATATAACACATTGTAATTTATTTTTGTTATGCGATGATGTGTTTTAAATCTCATCTTATCTTTTAACCAAACACCTGTCGCCCTCATGCAAATATATAATACTATACGGTATTGAATTTGCTTATATAGAGTCGAGATGAAATTTATGAACGGTTGGTTTCAATGAGGAAGGCGAACTAAGAGAAAGCGGCGATGACTGTGGAAGCATAATCATTTTGAAGACATTTTAGTAGAATCAAGCTAGCGCTGTTAGGATTACCTAAATAATTTCCCACATTTTAGGAGACAATGCCATTAAATTTCTTAAATGATGATGGTTTCTTCTTTCATATCACACATCTATGGTCAATGACATGACATGATGGTGTTACCCTAAAAGATACTTCTACTATTAGAATATCTGAAGGAAACTTTCAATAAATCCCATGCAGTAAGATTTTGTCATGCAGGCTGCTAAAAAATGACTACCAAAATTTGGCAGAAACACAGCAGGTTCCAGATAATTTTGTGAAAAACTAAATTTGATTGCTTGTCTCTCAAAATGTTTTCGACTAAAATTAGATTTCTTTGAGTAATTTCCACAGAAAAATCTTTATTATGAACATTTTAATGACATAGTATCCTTAGTGATAATGATAGCAATTTGGTCAAAGTTTATTACAGCCATTTGCTGGAAGTTTGTTCACACGAAAGGTATTTGAATTAAAATGAATTATTTGCATAAAACATAGATTCTCTCGATTTTAAAACGTAGCTGTGTAACCGTGCTTTCTTGGTTCCCCCAGTTGTCTAACCTAAACCCATGGCAGGGGCAGATTTTCGTGAAAGAACAAGCCTATATTGACGCATACAAGAGACTTAGAGAGTTTTATATTTCTGGCCAATTGATAGACCTGTGTAAGTCCTACCGAAACCCCTCAAGTCCGTTATTTGTCTCAACACACTCTCGACATACCTTGTCGCTACTATAAAGTGGCAGGAACCACTCAAAGCAAACTGAGTAGCTGTAAGCCCGACAAAAGTGAAAAATGATCTTTGTTTGATATCAAATTGAACCTCGCCGTGAACAAAAGCTACTCTTTCCAAATCCCACGTTAGGTTTCAGGGAATATCTTGATTGACAAAACGAAGCTTGTTTTTCCTCAATTATTCCTAAGTGCCCATATTTGTGTATCTTATTTCATAGACACGAGCCAGAAGATATCGTAAAAAAGATAATGTTCTACCTGATGCACGAAAATCATGATAACACATCTGGCTGCTATAAGCAGGGACGTCATAAATTGCTCTTACAATAGAGAACATCTCTTCGATGTTGGCTGAATATTTTTTGTATTAGGTCAACGGACACCGGAATTAAGGAAGCGTAGCAGGGTCAGCTTCCCCTCTTGCCTTTTACGAGTAGGGAAACTCAGGGATGGATGGGGCAAAGGATCTGCCTTCAATTCATTCATGCAGTTCCTTATTAATCCGCTTTGATATCACTGGAAAGCCTGCAGTCTCTGGATCATCCGACTTCTCTGTTGCTTCACGACATGTCCCACCTGTGACTAGTGTCGCAATTTTCATGGGGGGCAGAAAATAACGAGGGTGCATTTGTTCCCCCTCTAGCGCCGCAACTAGCCATGACGGTTGTGACTAATGGCCTATACTAGACATAGGTTAGTGGTTATAACATATGAAACAAACCTTAAAAAAGCCAAAGTTCGCGCTGGAACCTGCACTCATCTCTCTGGTACAAAACAAAAAATCACCAAAGCGCTAAGTGAGATGCTAATTTCCAGTGAGATATGTTTCCCCAGTCCGGAAAATTATCCTCAGAACAGCATTGGACCTGATAGTTTCTTTTGTCCTCGAGTACCTCAACCAGAACTAATTATCTTTTCTGTCGAACGAAAACCTTTTTGTCGAACCGACTTCAGAACCGATTTGTCATTTGCGCTCTAAATTTGACTATAGAGGATATAAATAAGACGATCATAAAAACGGCCTCTGGAGAATTTAACAGTGCAGAAGGTGAGAAGGAAAACAGAAGCAGAATAGCACAGAAGGACAAACAGAAACAAAGGATATACGTAAGTTACCGCTTGCTCAGTATGTAGGTAAGCGACGATCAGGGCCGGATGTTTTTCGCCAGTGCACATGTAAGATGCTGATCATGCTGCTCAGAAACATTACTGCTGACTTTCTTCAGTTTTCACACGCACACCGCATCAATTGTTATTTTTAATTTTGGTCATTTCCTAAAAGGACTCGATTGCATAAAGTCCATCGATGATAATTATTCTAGATAGTGAGACGATAATGGGTAAATAAAGATTATAATCCCAATATTTATGGCTTCACTACATTCGACATCTAAAATTGGCCTAAAGACGTAGGGCTCTACTTTCTTCTCAATTGTGAGAATTCGGACGAAGTTGATTCATATGACCGATAACAAATTGAAAAGAATATCAATAGGGAAAATTTTGTTCAATTCAGAAATTCCACCTATAGTGAAAAATAACGTTTACCCATTGCATTTGCATCCCAGACAAAAGATGAGATCATTGAGAAGTTAATGAAGCTAATGAAAACATTTTCAATTGAGAATTATTTGAAGATACATGCAACACGTCTGAAGTTGTAATCTTTCAAACACTTTAGTTGTCCAACTGATTTATGATGATGTCAACAGAAGTAATTCTATTCCTGACAATGGTTGTGTCACTGACCAATATTTCCTGTTACGAGTTGCATCATTTGCAGCGCAAACAACTAAAAGAAAACGTTGATGGCGCTATGGGCCGGATGGGCTCTCAGAGAGGAGATTTGTGGGAGATTTCTGATGCCGCACGGCCAGCGTTTCACAGTAAGAGTGAATTTCTGCAAACGTTTTAACCTCACCATGCAATGTATTTGTGTTAGTTAGCAGATTCATCAAAGATTGCATTACATTACTTAAAGTTGTATTGGACTGAATAGTAATCATATTTGTTACTTCCATTGTTAGATATCGATGACAGTCGTCTCTCTCGTCTACGTCACTATGTCCCAGGTTTTGACGAACGCGATGAAAACAATCCCAACGAATTGACATTTGCACAATCGTTGTTCGAAGACCCCTTTAGTGTTAAAGTACGCCAGGCTGTGCTCGAAACGAAGTTTTTTCAGAGAATTATTAATAATACTCTAGCTCCAGAACAATATGGCGGATACATGGTGCAAGACGCGGCTTACGTCTTTGATGCGGTGAAGGCTTTCGACTCAGCCGCTAAAAATATGCAAGGCAAGCACCCCCCTGATTTTGCGTTATTTTATCGGGGAAGATCTGCAAGCTTTACAAGTTACGCCAGTTATTTTGTTTCTAAATGGAAGCTGAAAAGCACGAAGAGCATCATAACGGGTCCAGCAGCCGCAACGTACGTAGCCTATGAAATGAAACTTGCTCAAAACAAGCCTAAATATCTCAGCATCGGCATCCTACCCTGTGACATGTTATGGCCTTGGGTTGCAAAACAAATTAACGATCAAGTTCCGAAAACGCATGTTTACAGATCATGGGTTGATGATAATCTTAGTGATGGTTCTTCAAGTGCGCAGAAGTTTGCCAACAAGTTTTTCACTGCGGAAGACAAAGAAGATTCCCAACCAATTTTTAATGAAGGAATTATCAACGAGCTAAATTTCTTTCGCTCTGCCTGCGGAGAGAAACCAGTGAGCTACGAATTCGGTATACAAGAGTAAAACTGCACAGGTCATTTTTCCAAGCTCCTTAAATTTACTACCGGTTTTGGTAAATTCTTAATGTTTTAGTTTAGTTCCTAATGATTTAAATAAAAAGCTGAAAAAACTATTCAGATGTATAAAAGATTATATGGCGTACCCTTTGAGAGGGCTGCCTATGGTTTCATTTCAATTATTTTGGCTACCAAAAAATGTGGGGGCAAAAGCTCACCGAGCCACCCCCCCCCCCGTCTCCGCAGTGCATGTTAAAATTTTCTCTGGAGGCTGCGCTGAATGTATGACGTCATTAATCCCTCCCCGCAACCATTCCAGAACTACATTTTATTTGGGAAATTATAGAACGATGAAACTTTATTCACTGCACTATCTTTATCTTCATTAAAATTTAAAAATAACGGTTTCATTTTTCTAAGTGAACCCGAAGAACATTGGTCAGTCAGAAAGCAGTCCCGTGCTCGAGACGAAGAATTAGTTAATTAGCACAACCATCACAATCAATTTCACACTAATTAACTAACTTCTAATTAGCAAGGTCATTGAGTTTGTGAACATTCGAATTAACTGCTCCAGTACCACGGATCGTCAGAAAAAATGAAAATATTCGCATTTTGGGTCTTGTTTGCTCTTGCTAATGGAATGTTCTTACCAAATAACGGTGAACTGATGAGTGACGTAAAAGAACGGAGTGATGCAGAATCAACAACTCGCCAGAAAAGATACGCTCATGAGATGCCCTGGTCGAAGAATGAATTCACCTTTTCTATTTTGAAATACACAAGAGATCTACCACGCAGCACTCAGGAAAATATTCTGGGAAAGGCGTTTGAGATTTGGCATAAAGCTGCACCACAGTTGAAGTTTGAATTCGAGAGGTATAATGCTAAAGCGGATTTCACGATCAGGTTTGTGAAGGGGGCTCATGGTGACAGTCAGGCATTTGATGGCGCAGGTCCACTTATTGCCCATGTTTTTGCTCCAGAAAGTGGAAAGATCCATTTCGATGATGATGAAAGGTAACTATACGAAATTTTCAATCTAGATAAATATGGGATTAACTGTTCTTGATCCTCGTATAAAAAGTTTACAAAAGTATTTCTGACGTTTTCAATGACAAAGGTTCTTCGACAAAAGGGAATTAACAAGCAGTTACTTAGTTACACAGCTAGTTAGATTTAACAAGCACAGTTACTTAGTTACACAGCTAGTTAGATTTAACAAGCACAGTTACTTTCAAATAAAGCGTGGGTATTCACAGACTACAAACAACTGATTAAACAAAGTCAGTGACAGTAATATTTTCTAATATTTGACAGGTTCACAGATAAATCAAGACACGGCATCAATCTGCTATCCGCTGCAGTCCACGAAATCGGACATGCCTTAGGCTTGCGACATTCCAAAAGAAAAACCTCCGTGATGTACAAACTCCACCACAAATACAATGGCAAAGACATCTCTCTGGATTCCGATGACATCAAAGACATCCAAGAACTATATCGTATCCACCCAATGGATCGTGGAAACCCGAATTGCAAAGACAAAAATCGCCGATTGTGTGATGTATATAAAAAGGAAGGATACTGCCAGCCTGATTACGAAGACATTATGAAAGAATTTTGTCAGTTCACATGCGATCTCTGTGAATCCTAACACTGAAGACATACTGTGACATGCTTACCACACACACTGAAATAACAATATAACATAAAAGCCAAAGGCGATTATTCTGTAAAATACTTTGTTTGAACCAGTACAAGTTACATAAGTTGATCTTATATGTAACTATGAAAATCTTCAGTGCATAAATCATTTTAACCAACATATTGTGCAGAATGTCTTACTCGCCCCCCTAAACGACTGAAAACTGTACTATCATTCTGATATACAGTTAACTACATAGGTATATCATGGATAATAAAATCACTAAAGTATCGATGGGTATATTTATATCAAAATTAGGTAGTTTAAACACTTTTTCGATCGGAGTTGGGTCATATTTCACTCTATATCAACACCACATTGTTATTATTGGCACGACAGGGCTGAAATTGGTTATTCCAGCACCAATTTTTGGTGGCCTGGACACAGATGAAATTGAGTTATCAATTTCTAACGCAAGTGCCTTGCTTATAAATAGAGAACACAAACAAACATAAAGACATGAAGTATCGGACCGTCTTTATTTTTACACCAAAGACTAAATGGAAGTACTTCCAGAATAAAAACTAAAAGTGTTGATATTAAGTTACTGCGCGAGGATACGCAGCTCTGCCCTGAACACTAGTTCTTTATATTTATAATGAATAAAAATTTAATGGTTTGACTTCTAATAGTGCATGTGTTGTCGAGATAAATGTATCATCGTGCTTGTTCCACTACAGTTGAAAAAGAGAACAATTCCATTACGACTTTGTAAGAATTAAGAAAATAAACAAAGCAATTTTGTGATACTTACAGTAGGATGTAATATCGATTTCTTGTGGCAACTCGCCGATGTTCACTTCAAATCTATCCTGAACATCGTTCAAAACTTTAGCATCAGTTTCATCTGAGACGAATGTAATTGCAAGACCCTTGGTTCCAAATCTTCCAGCACGAGCGACCTGAGCAACAAATCGTAAGTTATGTGGTAAAAAAACTCGGGTTCCCAGCAAAAAAAATTTGTGCTTGTCACGTAGTCAAAGCCACTGAAAGGCTTCCGTTGGGAGTGGTCAACTAAATAGGTATGGGATGAGTGTTGAAGACAGGTTCCTCACAGTGAACCAGGTCCACATGACCACTAGACTGCCAATGTATTATGGGTGGCTAAATAGCGAAGCTTTCGCTATACATGTCGTAACATTTAGTTGGCGAAAGAGGCACGAAATAATGAATAATGGTAACTGGACCGGTACTGATGATACTGATTACTCTAATATTAATGTTGCCATTTGTCATCAATCAGCAATATCAATATGCATTACTCAGTACTCACCCTGTGTAAGTACGTGTCGGAGTCTTCAGGCATGTCATAGTTGAAAACGATATTTACACGTTCGATATCCATGCCTCGACCAAACAGATTAGTCGCCACCAAAATGCGCTTCTGAAAATCTTTAAACTGTTGGTACCTGGACAATCTGGGGAACAGTATAAAACACATTTTATAATCGGTCATAATCGATTCGCTTTATAACAGGGTAATTGTTTCATTTCGCAGCAGTACCTTTCTTCTTGTGGCATTCCTCTGTGAATGGCAATTGCAGGAAAGTTCTGTTCAACCAACAATTGCGCTAAAGCCATACATCTAACCAAGCTCTTCACAAAAATTATCACCTATAACATTCATAGGAAGGCAAAATAAAGGTTAAGTACAATTCCTTGTTCTTATAAGTGCCAGTGTTGCATCGAGCTGCGCAACTAAATCGTGTCTCTACTCTCTAGAGAATAGCGGAGGATAACTAAAACCACAAAAAATATTAACCTGGTTAAATTCGAGAAGATCCAGAAGATCGAACAGTTTACGATTCTTTTCATTGTCACGCAGTTTCACATAGTATTGCTGTAGACCATGAAGGGTCAGTTTCGTCTCGTCATCAACATATACTTCCATTGGCTGGAATAATAAAACATTTCAGTAAAAGCTAATAGAATATAACTTTAGAAACAGTCAGTACAATAAACTTTCATTTTGTACTGCATAAGAAACAAAGATCACTCTATATTGAAACATGAGGGTAAACTAGGGTTGGTGGTTAACCCTGCCTTCAAAATGATAGTTAATAAATGAAGCTTTGAATATACAGGGGCTGGTTAGGATAAGCAAAAATAACCATGATTTACATTTAAAAACTGATTGATTATCTGACTTGAAAGTTACTGAAATTGATAAGAAATCTCAACAAATAAGTGCATGAAAAATGCAAAGGTTCAAATGTCTGAAATTTGTCATTGAAAATATTGCTATCTTGCAAATGGGTTACTTCAAAAAAATATGAGTGCAAAGCTGTCAAATACATCCACAACAAAAAAATTTAGGGCCAGGTAATTGCAAATAAGAAAATTTGGGATAGCAGATGTTTGTCAAGATTGTTTCAGTACTTTTCAAAACATTGTAACAATACTCCACATGATTCCAATGAAGGCTTTCATGCAGACGAAGAAACTGTGGCACTCTCAGTTGTGGCACTTTCTTCTCAGAAACCATGGCAATTCTCATCAGCAAGACTAAGCTTCTGTTGACACACACCAGCACCGGAAATGTAGCAGTAGGGAAGTTTACATGTTGCTCTTCCAAGCTTCTTCTTGCCAGAATACTGTGGCATTCCTCAATGAGGTTGAAAAACCATGGAGAAACCACTTGCATTGTTGAGGAACAAACAACCAATTGCACCACACCATTGTAGACATTCAACCAAATTGCCTAACCCAAACTTTCAAATTTACCATGTCAACCCTTAGTGACAAGCAACCAAATGCTACCATGACCAAACCAACCAAAATGATTAACCAAACAACACCAATATCAACCTCCAACAATCCCACATGTATTTCATTATCCGAAGCAATACACAATGAATGGTTCGCTATCACAACTACCAATACACCAAACCCTCCAGCTACAACTAGACATAACTCCAATAACACCACCACAAATCAACAGGATTTCTTTGGCAAGCTTGGTAGCCAATGAGATGATTTCTAGTAAACAGGAATGAGATAACTTAGAAGTGACATAATTACATCTTGCATAAACTTCTTGCAGATTGGTCGGATATCTTTAGCAAGTGTGGCACTGAACATCATCACTTGCTTCTCGTGTGGTGTTGTTCGGAAGATCTCTTGAACATCTCGACGCATGTCTGAAGGATAAAGTTAATCTTTAAGAACAGGTAGATTAAATTTTGTTTAGTTGGACAGAGTTGTAATGGAATCCTATGTTGGAAGACCAAGTCAAAGCTAGATTGTCTAAGACAAATTCTGATGAAATTGCTACAGGCAACATTCTACAGAGGCTGAAGTAAAAAACTTGATCACATACACTGTTGGGAGCTGTTGCAGCAGAAATTCATACCAGTACTGTATGTCATTCAAGTCTCGCAACAGATTGAACCAGTTGGGGTTTGTTAGAATGTAATTACAATAAGATAGAAATTCCTAATTTATTTACTTACCAAGTTGTTCAAGCATCTTGTCACATTCGTCAAGAATGAAATGCTTGATGTGTTTCATGTTGAGTGATTTTTCTCGAGCTAAGGCAAGGATCCGACCAGGCGTACCAACGACAATATGAGGACAGTTAGCCTTGAGTGTCTGCTGATCTTTCTTGATGTTAATACCACCAAAGAAGACTCCAACTTTGATGTTATTCATGTATTTGGAGAACCTTGATGTAAAAACAGTAATGAAACATTAGAAAAGAGGTGTTTTTATAAATTATTTCACGATTTGAGGGTCTTTGGTTGATAGATAATCAAGCAGTCAATTAAGACCTGACTGGAAGCGAATTCTATTAGCTTTCTGGCAGAAATTAAACCTATATCCAGCACAATGCTAGTTCAATGCTTTGTAGCAAGTAGCAAGCCAGCTGCAAAGAGTGAACATTTAATTGCAACGGCATTTTGTATCTAAGAATAAATTTATAGATATAATTGATAGGTATACAAGGAATTGGGTATTTAAAATTAAGCAAACTTATAAGCCCAAATATAATGATGACCAACCTTTCATATTCTTTGCAGATTTGAAAGGCCAGCTCACGCGTATGACACAGCACAATAACACTGACTTGGCCATCAACTGGTTCGATCTGTTGCAAAGTAGCAAGGACAAATACAGCTGTTTTTCCCATACCACTTTTCGCTTGACAAACAATATCCATGCCAAGAATGGCTTGAGGGATGCATTCATGTTGGACTAGAAGACAAAATAAAACAAATCTACTAAATGGGCCTATCTAAAAATATATACAGACAATACAATCTGTGCAGGTAAAGTGGCAAAGCAAAAACATTGCAAAAAAAACCTGAAAGTAAATTTCATAAATTGCTCTATGCCATCCTAAATATAGAATACACAGCAACTACTGTTGAGTGTTGACCAGCCTAATGTTTAGCTTATTCCAACGCCCGAGTGACTGGAATTTAAAGTTGGTTAGTGAAAATATTCAGCATTTTAGACTATTTTCACAGGGGAACCTGAAAAATTCAGGCCCATGAAGGCATGAACTGAAAGTCGGTCACTCGGTCAAGTTTTCCCACAAGACCTTACACGCAATTAATAATTTCCTTTGTTAAAAGATCGCGTTAGCAGGTTATGCTCGTTATCCCCTAATAAGGACGTTAAACTGACAATATGTAATGGAACCACAAGGCAAATATTACTTAAAACTAGGTAGACGTGTTAAGAAAATACAAATTTTCTATGTACCTTCGCTAGGATGCTCAAAACCACAATCGAGAATGGCACGAAGTAGCTCGGGTTTCAAGAGGAAATCTCTAAAACCAGAACTGTGTATACTGACATAGGCTCCCTTAACGTCTTTTTTCGCGTCTTTAATTGTAATATTCCCTGCATTTGGGGCCTCAGCTTCATCTTCTTCGTAGTCTAAAAGCTCCGAAACATCACCATCTTCGTGGTCTGCAGCCATTTTGAAAGTGTCTTTTGAGCTAAATATTTTTATAAATTCCCTTTAGTAACGCGAAATGTAACGCCAAAATATAAAAAAACAGCGTAATAAAGATTTAAGATGTTAAGAAGTCATGAAATACTGACGGATGGATAAAAATAGTGAAATATATTAAGGATTCTATTACCGTGTAAAATAACAAAAAAATTACGAGAAGACGGCAGACGCTTGAGAGAGAGAATTCAGAGACCGCGATCGCGATTGTCTTGGATCTTCAGCGGTTTCATCATTGCGGGCAGCCAGTAGGCGAGGCAGCCCACCTTGCGGGCCGGGTAACCCACGGATCACCAGCACCCAAACCCCTGCTATAAAGGCCCAGCGTGTTTCACACACGATGTAGAATTCCAGAGTAGATTGGTTGTTGATTAGACATATAGTTAAACGATAAGGTATTTCATTGGTAAAGAAATGCAATAGATGTAACAAGCTGTGACACCTACAGGGAATTCTGGTCTTTGTAGTCACGGCGGAAATTTTGAAGTTTGATTTTTTCACCGTGACTATTAAAACCAGATTTGAGAATTCCCTGCAGGCGTGACGGCTTGAACGTCATTATGCATAAGGTCTATTGGTATAACCTAGATCAAACCTATACCGTGGTCTGAAGCAGGCCTGTTTCAGACGGTCGAAGTTTTCATCTGACGAACCTTAATTACTTAATGTTAAGCTGAAGCCTTTGTCCAGGCCTTTGTTTAAGTTCATTTGCATTCGATTCGGCACATGAAAAGTTCGACGTCTGAAACGGACCGCAGTTGCTCATTTTTGAGCATCATACCAATGATAAAATACAATAAATAAACCAATCGTTTTAAACCGAAACCATTTCTATCGGCCCGAACCACTCTGGACTAAAATTATCAATTTTAATAAAAGCTAAGTCAATCAAGAGTTATCCCAACCGAAGCGAGCGCATTGACCGCCCAAGATGGAAAGTTTTTATCTGGGTGTAAAAGATTAAAACGTATATTAACAAAGTCTGGAAATGTGTTGTTCATAATGCTTGCACGCATTTCTTTCATCAGTCTCATCTAGATAAAGAAGAACAAAGGCTCCGTTATTCGTGTTAGTTCAGGAAGAACAAAGTAATCAAACACTGGCTGGATTTCTGAAACGTGTAAACACTGTGGCTAAGGGCCAATTACCACTCAACGGCTTAGTTACGAGGTTTAAGCAGGGGAAATGTCCTACTTTTTAGGGGAAACTGCAACAAAGAAGCAACCAGCTTTCCCTTTCATCCTCAGTATAGTAAAGTAAAGACAATATTGTAAATAAATTATTGCTCCCAACAGTGTAATCTACTGCCCATTTATAAAATTGAATATGTTTCGTTTTTCTCACAAGTAAATTAAAAAAATAATCAGGCAACTGCATACATTGCAAACATCAAACCCAGTCACAGAATGAAAGATATTTAAACCACTTAAATTCCATTACAGTTTATTTCAAATTACCATCCTTACCTGGTAATATATATTGTGTACGGTAATGAGATGACATCCGACTGCTTCGCGACTGAACAACGAGTGTACGTAAGCTCTCGAGTGTTTCCGACAGGTTGAACACAGGCAATCACTTTCTATCGGAGTAAAGTCGCTCGCATATTTTTTGTTTCTTAATGTCAATTGACCTCTTGCTGTAAGAGCTGTGCCAAAACGCTACAAATGATAACATTAGAAGTATTTTATTTAATTGTTAACGCTAAAAATGACATAGCATGGTTAAAAAAATTAGGCATTCATATTTAAGATCACCCCCAAATTATAATTATAAACTTCAAAATAAGTATCAGTATAAGAGGCACTGGGTACCCTGCTTTGGAGAAGATAATTTATTAGGTGATAGCTAAGAAATTTGCGGGAAACTTTAGGTAAAAGCCGCTCTAGCCTCTAGGTATAAAAGTTTGGCCCCACACTGGAACTAGGAAACTACCGTGGAGCCTGAAGGAGAGCTCAAGTTGGGGCGTTTTGTTGTGAATTTACAACCTTTGAAGAAAGTGTGGGACATTTGAGCCGAAATGTACATATGTATAACCTCCCCCCCCCCAATAGTATTTCACAAATAAAGCGGTAATGTGGACCATTAGAAAAATATTAGAAAATAATGATGGCGTCGATGGAATTTCTTGCACCAAGGACGGCAGTCGGACTTGCCAGTTCATTGCATGTGAACTAGGAGGTAGTAGAAGACAGATATAAACACATTTCGAGTGGGGATAAACTCATTTAAACTGATGTGTCATTCGTGCTAAAAAGGCGAACATGTAAGGAATCATGAAAGGCAGCTAGCTCAGCCTTAAAGATACTTACAGCAGTTCTAGTGGGATAAACGCAATCAAACATGTCTGCACCCAAAGCGACACATACTATCAAGTCTATCGTGTATCTAGAATAAGATAAGAAATACGAAAATTAATTTCCGGGAACCGTCATAGAAACGTCCATTTGTACGGAACTCTGCTTTACTTCGAAGCGTACCGGGAATAATTCCATGTCCAGAATCCACAAGTTTAACTTAATCGAATCCTTTACGGTTATACTAATAGCGGTTTATATAGGGTTTTTAGGTTTAGGATTAAATTTAAGATTATATTAATAATAATAATAATAATAGTGGTTGAAATACATGTATACGAGCTGGCAAACAAAGTATTTGCACCGCTATCCCAAATTCCATCCAGGGAAAAATAGGCTTAACGAAAAAATAGACTAATCCTTCCCGTTTAGGAGAAACACCTCCCTCTTGGGGAAATATACTCCCCCCCCCACTGTCGGAAAGCAATTACTCGAAAAGCTGTTCATTATTTTTGGAGGTTACCATCATAAACAAGCTCGTAACACACTTGTTCATTGGGTGAATTTGCTGGGAATTAATGTTCACAGCATATAACCAACATGCATTAAAAGTTACTAGCAGAACACTTCTACCTACCCAACTCCCATACAGTATCTTGGTTTATCTTTTGGAAGATAATCTGTACATAATGAAACAATTTTCCAGAACTGTTCTTTCTCTTCACCACCACTCAGACCACCAATTGCATAACCAGGACAATCTCGTTTTACCATTTCTATTTGAATAAAGGTACCTGCATTTAGTAAGCTATCAAGTTTTGGGTTTGATAAAATATATGGTATAAATGAATGAATGAATGCATTTTATGACACCTAATTATTGAGCATATATTTTTTCATTTGACATAAACTGGAAGTAGTAGTTCTTGTATTTGAAGAAAAATGCAGCATTGTAAATAAATAATAAAGTCCATCTACCTTTGCAACATACTTCTCTAAGCTTAGGGTCCAGTCCACCCTGGATAATAGGAAAAAGATTTTGTTCCGAGGGTCTCTTGTGTGCTTTGATACATCTATCTAGCCATCGTATTGACCTGTACATGGCTTCTTCAACCCTCTGACCTGTTGTGAGGCTGCTTATGACATCATCAAGTTGCATCATAATGTCTGCGCCAATTGTATTTTGGATCTCCATTGACTTTTCAGGGCTGAGTAACATCTCTGATCCATCATGAGGTGACTGGAACTTAACACCCTCCTGCAGGAAATAGCTTTTCTTATACTATTTGGGAATAATTTAATCATGTGTGAATTTTAATCTTTGCCTCAAAAGTTTTTTTCACTTTTATATTATTAATAAGTGTAATTTGTAAAAATTATTCTGTACTATAATTAACAAGTTAATTAGCGGTTAATTAGCAATTTATTGTTAAATAATTTAATAGATACTGCCTAAATATGATTGATATAAATTTGAGAATGACTGACCTCACTGACTTCAGACAGTTTTAACAGTGAAACCATTTGAAAGCCACCACTGTCCTACAGAGTGAGAAACAGTAGAGATACAATTAGTTGCTTGCCTAAACATTTAAATCATGACATTTTAGTCCTCAAATGACCATACAGTTAACATAGCTCTTTTCCAGTTCATGAAGTTATGAAGACCTCCAACTTTTTCTAATACATCTATTCCCTAAAATAAACAAGTACAGCATGAGATGCAATCATACCTATATAGTTAGGCATAGTTTCCTAATTAAAATAAAATTGACTGACAAAGTATCATTGGTTGAGACTTTATTAATAAAATCTTTGTTAATCAAACACTGACAACTCCTTAATAACTGAAATTTATGGCAATTTATGGTAATTTTGGTGCAACCTTTGTGTTCTTTTACTTATCCACTTCTCTTTTTGCACCTTCTCTTTTTGCACCTTTTTGCACTAAAAATCTCACTTACACAGAACTTGTAATACGTGTATGACAGTACAAGGTTAAAACGTATAATGCTTCGTGCAGTGACATTCGGGCAGTGAGGCCACTTGTTAAGACTTCTATTTTGAAGTACGTCCCAAACTCCCAATGATCCCATTTAATAGGCCCATTTTCCCTGCACCTTAAAAGTTAAAACCTGTAACCTATTTTTATAATTTCGAAGCCCAAGCCCAGATCCAATCAGCAAGTTAAGATAAATTATACTATAATTGAATAACAACTTACAGGCCTCATGCCCAAGTGATACGTATTTCCAAGGATGATATGACAGTCTAGTGTCTCCATTTGAAAAGATGTCATTCCTTTTAGCGTACCTTGAGTACCAACAGGCATAAACACTGGTGCATCGACATTGTAATGTGGTAAGGATAACACAGAGACTCGAGCTTTAGAACGACTGCATTTTGCTAAAATTTTAAATTTCAGCGCCACTTGGTCAGCCATCTTTGCTCTTTGATTTGTCTATTGTGTTTCCAAAATTTCAATTTTAAAACACATTCATGTTATCATTGTTACACATTGTTCACTAACCTTTGTAGTTGCAGTCTTGCAGATTTCGTTTGATATTTCTCAGTAGATTTTATCGTACCGTTAAACATTTAAAATTATAATTACTTTGTCCATGTCCTGGAAAATCTCTCGTTTGAACAGTTGAACTTTTTTTTTGCGTATTTTAGTCAAAAATTTTGACTCAAAATATCCTTGACATGGAAACACATTTTTGAAGAAAGGAACAAGATGGGAACAAGTGGGAGAAAGAATGAAATTTGAAATGAGAATGAACTACTGAACTATATTCCTGGAGGAAGTGCTCAAGAGCATAAATATTATATAGCTCAGTGTGAATGTACTAGAGCAATTTTAACCCCAAAAATTTGTAAGCAACATTATTTTGGTAGTTTTGAGTATAATGCAGATCTAGATAAAATGGATGACACCTCACCACAAAAAGATGAAAGATTACCACTTAAATTCACATCTCAAATGAAACGTCTTGTTTGCATTGAGTACCCTGGATACATCCAAGACATCTCAAAAGCTCTGAAAACACTTGGTGGTGAGGAGCAAGTAAATGCCACAATTAAAGATCCATTGAGACGTGTTGCAATGCACTTTCGTCCTAATGATCCATACTGTCGTCAGAATTTTGGTGATCGGTTCCCTGTCACTGACTTATTAATGAAAGTTAAACGAAGGAAACAGAAAAAAAATGGGACAGAAAATATTCAGTATGAATGTGAAGTATTAGGAGTGATTGATACTGTTGTGAAGTATGCTTGCTTTTTTATGTATATTTATATGCTATTATTTATATTTTATTTATATTCTATTTTAAGTCTGTAATTCATTTCACAGGTCCAGAGACCATAAATCAGTTCATATACCTATTGTGTGACTTGTTGATCTACACCTTGGCTATTGTCATATATTTATATGGAAATTTTATTAGGTTTAAAGGTCTAGCAGACTTCCAATATGTTGTTCCACAGATGCCAGACTTACTGGATGGGTTGCATGGGAGCGAGATCTTAGACATAGAGACACCATTACATCTTCCACCACCTGCTTTCTGCAGGGTTGATCATCTGTTTGACTATCAGTATCGAACAACCAGTGTGTCTAAAGACAGAAATGTGCAACCTAATGAACAGTAAGTATCTATAGGGATTAGAATTGATAATGAAGTTAGGTTTTCGTCATGATTTGGAATGCTCACTGGTGGCACTTGAAAGCTAATGCATTTTAATGACTCAACAAAAATAAGATTGCCAAACTGTAGAGGTTTATAGTACTGTTCACCTCAATTTCTCTTGCAGGCGTCTTGGCAAAACATTTCGGAAACCTCGGCCAAGCTATGTCATATCCTGTCATTTTAAAACCCCAGTTGTACCCAGCCAACCAAACGAAGATGTACTTGAAGAACTTAAACGATTTCATAATGATGGCTTGGATATCATTCAGCGTTTGTTTAACATCAGACCAGTCTGGTCGAGACGAGCTATAATATATCATCTTGGTGAAAAGGCAAGGAGAGTAAGGCTTTTATTGCCCTCTGTTGCCTATTATTGGATTGGTGGGCCATGGCGGACATTTTGGACCAAGTTCGGCTATGATCCAAGGAAAAATCCTGCAGCTAAAATGTAAATACCATTTTACCATTAAGAACAATTTTTTTTTTCAAAATCATTTCTCTCATTCTTTCATTTAACTTAACAAAAAAATTTTCAGTAAGCATGCTAATGATTAGCAAAAAAAAGGTCACTTACTTCAAGTGTGTTAACAATAATAGCAATATAACATCTCTAATTATAGTCAATTAAGGACAAATACTACCTTTTCTTTGGAGAGTGTTTGGTAGTATTGCTGTGCCAAATTCTAGAATGCCTTGTAATGCTGCAACTGAATTTTTTGTCATTCATAAATTTGTAATGTAAATGGGCAGGAGACTCTCCCAACTACCCTCCTTTCAGGTATCCCCCTTCCCACATACACCCCCTCCCATGTTTTCCACCCACATGCCCCAGTGGTCTCACCCTTGCACAGGACAACAACATATACTGAAGACCTAACACTTTGTTAACCCATTAGTTCCTACTACTTTCTCACTTTGTTTTTTTATCTTTTATAATTAGCTATCAAAAACTAGACTTCAGATTGCGTAACAATAAAGCGTTACGCGGCATGCGACTACCTCCCAAGTCTCGACAGGACAAAGAATTCACATCAACGACGCGTTTTCAGAGAAATGCCCCTCAACCAGTCATACCACTGGGAGTAACAAACACCACTAGTACCGAGGGTCCTGGAACCAGTTCTCAGAAACCCGACGCGGGCTCTCTGGTCTCTGTCGCGGAGGAAAGTTACATGGATGTCTCGGTGGATAACACAGACGAACAGGAAATTTTACCCTATGCTTTTTATCCCGATAGGGCACCAACTGCCCGGCAAATCATCTATCAATTATGTGACATACGTTGCGCCGAAGTACAGAAAATGATTTCTGAGAACGATGGGCGGGTGTGTACGAGAAATTTGTTATATATATTAAACCTCCATTTTACGGAGAAAGTACATCTTTGTATGTAGAATACTACCCAGAAACAACTGTAGGGGCAAGGTGGAGCTCTTTCTATTGAAAGTGTTCTTTCGATAATGCTAAATAGACAGCCAACAAACAAGTAGCATTTAATTAAGGCACACTCGCACTGGCGTATAATTCAGTTCTTAATATTATTCATTATGCAGTGAACACCAAAATATTAGCAGGTACTGTCGTCATGTTACGCGCACGAAATATTTTCTCTTTGAACCCAGTCCGTAACATAATGATATTAGTCGTATAGCCTATTGGCATACCGGGACTAAATGACTACACTACCGCCCATTTTTCGTCCAGCGGAAAGCCCTCGGACACCAGATATCACTCACACTCACACTGGATCATTAAGCTTGAGTAATTTTCCTGTACAAATGAGACACAATGTTGATTCAGAAACGTATCTAAGTCAGTTGATTTCGAGAAATATCGATGGTAATTCATTTGAAAATAACGCAAGTCAGGGTATCTTTACCAACCTCACTTTACCAACTATTTTAGAAGAAGTTCAGTGTTCCGACCCAAACCACTATGGCCCATTGAAAGAATCTACCCACAATGTACCTTCACGGTTTAGTTTTGTGTGAGTATTTCTCTCGGGTCTCAAACATAATTCTCGGGGTTTTTTTAGGAACGAGTATGCACAGAGTACGAGGGTTGGTTGGAACAAGGGACATGCGAGAAGATTCGTATTGTGCTGACAAGGAGTTTAGTTGAACTACAAAAAAGTCAAAAGAATACATCAGAAACTATGGAAGGACTGGACGGAAATGATGCACAGCCAGACGAGATGGAAGAAGATGAGGCCTCGTTCTTAGACACCTTAATGGATGACGATGATGTCGAAGCTTATGACATTCTAGATGAAGATTTTTGATGCATTTAAAATGAACTACGCAAGCAAACTAAGTGTCTTCAACGATGTGATTACTATTTAATAAAGTATTAAGATTGCTCTACTTTATCTTACGTGTTTGTGTGCATGTACACGCAAAGATAACATTTAATCCTTCTAAATTATTAAAAAAATCAAACCATCAATTTGATTCTTTAATTTTGCTTTCAAAAAAAATACGATACCAAATCTTGCGGAACACAACTATCTCTTCATTTGTGCACATATTTCAAAGGTAGTAAATATTTACTCTCTGTGCGTATAAAAACAACTTGACTCAAATTGAATTCGACATTAGGCTCCGACAGTCAGTGATGCATTCTGGGTGGCCGGGACGGAAGAAAAAAGCCTTCAAAAATGACAGACTGATGCATTTCATTCGTCATAGATCAATGATAGTGATGATTTCTGATCATTGTGTGATATATGGGTCTTTTTATAAGAACTATAAGCTTTGAATCAGCAGTCGGCTCTGGGAAGGATTGTAAAGTAAGGGTAAACTGGTAAGGTAGGGCGTAGGCGCCATCAAGCAGAAATATAATGTAGTGAGTTTAAAATTTAGAGTATAGGAGCATTTTGTGTTTTCCTGGCTTAAATTATATCCCTAGGATTTGTGAAAATATTAATTCGGGTATATCACAAAAATAGTTCACAACACGTGAAAAGGAATAAAAATAGAAAAAAAAACGTGATCGGGCGTAGTGTTCCTTATGAAATCGGTATTTAAAAGTTATCTTTAGCGTATTAGGCCTAATCAAATTGTCATTAAAAATTTTTTAAAAATATTTTAAAAAATTTTACAATGCCCATTGTGATCACTGAAATATTGAAAGTATGAACGAACCTTGGATTTCGTTATTTTGTTGCAGTAAACTGCAGAGAAGCATGCACATTTAGGGGGGAAAAAGATCGCAAATTGTCAGATCATAGACAGATGAGGAGGAAGGGGTGACTGACATATGATTGATGGTTGGATAACGCGCAAGAAAATTGTATTAATTAGACCTTCCATGATGGCTAAAAAGGCTCAAAAAGCACCTCCCAAATTTAAAATTAACGAAATATTACAATGCTCAGGGACACATCGCATTATTCTTTACCCTCACTGTCTTGTCTGGCTCGGGGAAGAGAATCATACGATGTCGCTAAGAAAACACTCTTGTTTTTTGAGAAAAAGTAAGGGCAGAGTCATAATAAAAGACTATTGATACACTACCATAACTTTCAGTATGTGAAAAATTTGACTAAAATTAATTTTAGTTTTAATTTATGTAAAATAGGTAAAGTGTCGTGTCTCATTCGCCCCCGTGTTTGACTATGCCGCACGTATAAAAAATGGTTGAAAATAAGTGGAGAGGGACTTGAGCGCCAACCCACCCCCAAGTGTCGTCGTGCCCGGCTAAAGACTAAAGAGGATCTAACACCCGCTACTTTAGAAATTAGAGGGCGTTCTTGAATCGTAATGACGCATACTTAATGCATATAATTATTTAAGTTACACAATCTGCTCTGCTTTATCGCTACACTTTATCTAGAAGCTTTGTGTTTTACCCGAGGCGATAATTCGTTCTAATTTGCTCGAATTTTGGCTTTTTGTGGCTAAAATCTAGAAGTAAATCGATCAGATTTCAGAACAACACCTTTGAAAGGGTCTTAACGATGGAGCAGTATTATTGAAGTGGTATCTTACGTCCGCCTTGAACCGTTTCAAACATTTTTTTTCTCCATTTGATTTAATTTTCACGTGTGGAAATTAACAAGTGTATGGGCCGGCGAGATATTAATGTGTTTCTACAACGAACTTTGAATATTTATGAACTGATTTGGACGAACTTTGCGAAGACGTTTTAGTGCATTGCCATCTCATTTTTCGTAAAGTCGAGACAATTGCTGTCGCTTAATTCTGAAGAAATCAAGACATATTATCATGGTCCCTAGTTTACTCCATGAAAGTTACAAAGAATAATAATTTTCTATGGTTTCAACATATTCCGGTGAGTCTTCTCATTTTCAGTCTCAAACATCAACTGTTTTTTTATGAATAATAGAGCTAAAAAGATGTGCAGTATGAAGTAATTAAAAATCTGAGGTATATTTCAACTAGCCATACGAGTGTCTTTCACCACGTACGTTGATCGCATAATATGTATATATAGAATGTGTAATCTTATAAGCAAAGTCATTTACTTCAAATGACATATATTAATGCTGAGTACATGCATGTCATTGCCATTCCACATTAATTTTAATTTCGCTTATTTTGAAACTGCATGCAATAGACATGCAGATAGATATACAAGACTATTTCACATGCAATCTTCAAACGCAGACTTACTGATTTGGTTACATGCATATATGCACCTCTGTGCCTTTCCACTTTCTACTCTGTTATCTACCTTAAAAACACATGTCCACTACGAGATTAAAATTTGTGTAAGAATTATCTAGCTCTATATTTTGGCTTCAAATTTTTATCTTTTATTCTTTTAATTCAAACTCCACCCTTTCACTTTTCGCACTCGTACGCATATTTTTGTTTTGCCTTGCGAAATATACTTGAACTGATATATAGAGACAAAATTAATTTATAAGACTTTGTGTAAAATTTTTAAAACCAGTGCACGCATATCTCTAAGCTATAAGTATTGCTTGCATAAACGTCTTAATTTGTCACACACGATTATTTTTACAAGTTAAACTAATAATCATATCGACATTTGGATTGCCGTTGTACAATTTTTTCACTATAGTGAAAATGAACGATTGATTGTACCTCAATTTCTCTAAAACACGATGCTGCTTTTGGCGGAGACGTTAAAGTCATATTTCGGGCCATAAACCAATCATTGGCTTCTCATTTTTTAATATGGCCTACGGCATTGCATGCCATGCATGATGGGACTGATTTTTCTAGAAATCACTTCCTTGATAGTCGACTATAATGTAACAAAATGCATGCATTAAAATGTAAAACAATAACTTGACTAAACTCCACCAATGCCTGGTTTCCATTTGGTTGTGAGTGTCGGGAACATGTCAAGATGACTGATGTTCCCCTGCTTGGATTCCACAGCTTGGATTCCGGATACAACTCCTTAGATTCGTTTGGATTCCGGATTCCAATTTATAATTTCCAAGTTGAAGGCAAATAACCGCTGTTTGTTGCATACCGTTTGTCTATATTTGGCAAATATTTTGTAAAAATATAAACACGCAAAAAAAACGTAAATTGCATCTTTATCTCAGCCTACAAACAATACTAAAATACAATCTTCATAGTTACGTCCGTAGATATTTGATAAGTGACACGTGAGTAACCACCAATACCATCAGTGGCCACACCAATACCATCATGCCGCAGTGACACTCCGTCACTGAGCGTAAAGACATTCTTTTCTCTTATTGTATAACAGATTGTATTGTCCGTAATGAAAGTCATGTCCGTATGTAGACATATCATGCGGTTTATTTACATTTTTGAACTTCTTTACTTTTAAAGTACGATGAGCTTCAGAATGTTGAACAAAATTTAGGTTCGCATGGCATCTAAATGAGTATGAACTGTAGTTTTTATAATTTTATGTTCAGAAGCTTTATAATTATTGAAGACTGGCACGTGCGCGGTACCGCGGAGTTAACCCAGAGCAAGCGTCATGTGTTTGTATAAATGCAAGTCCCGCTGCAAAGGCATTTTAAGAGTTATACTGTTCGTTGCTGAGAACGCAGGAAATGCCATTAGCGGGCTTCAAATTTCACAAATTTCTTGGGGGAGAATGCCCCCGAACCCCCTTATTTATAGCGGTTGGATCTCAGACACGGTCAGATATCGGCCTGGATCCTTTGAATATTTGGACGGATTTTGCGAAGACGTTTTAGTGCATGGCCATCTCAGTTTTTCGTAAAGTCGAGACAATTGCTGTCGCTTGATTCTGAAGAACGTTTACCCCATGAAAGTTACAAAGAATAATAATATTTTATGGTTTCAACATATTCCGGTGAGTCTTCTCTATTTCAGTCTCAAACATCAACTGTTTTTTATGGAAAATAGAGCTAAAAAGATGTGCAGTATAAAGTGATTAAAAATCTGACGTATATTAGAACTATAGCCTATAAGAATACTGAAAATATATGAGTGTCTTTCACCACGTACACTGATCGCATAAATAATATGTATAATTTATATAGAATGTGTAATCTTATAAGCAAAGTAATTTACTTCAAATGACATATATTAATGCTTAGTACATGTTATTGCCATTCCACATAAACTTTAATTTCGCTTAATTGGAAACTTCGATACCTGCAATAGACATGCAGATAGATATAGATATACAAGACTATTTCATATGCAGACTTACTGATATGGTTTTATGCATATATGCACCTCTGTGCCTTTCCACTTTCTTCTCTGTTATCTACCTTAAGGCTCGTTTACACTTGCGATTTTTGCTACCATTTAATGTGCAATTTTCTCCCTTCGATAAATGTGAACGAGTAATTAGTTACGAATGTTCTAAATATAAAGCTCTTATATTTGAACTTTAGTAACCAATTCACTCGAACACATCTATCAAAAGAGGAAAATAAAGAGGAAATTAAAAACATATGTCCACTACGAGATTAAAATTCGTGTACTGTTGTTCTTTCTATTCAAACTCCACCCTTTCACTTTTTCGCACACGTACGCATATTTTTCCCTTGTGAAATATACTTGAACTGATACAGAGACAAAATTAATTTATAAGACTTTGTGTAATTTTTTTAAATCAGTGCACGCATATCTCTAAGCTATAAGTATTATGAAAGCATACGTGAACATGAATTAGCACAATAAATATTCTACGGACTACGATTTACTTGCTTGCATAAACGTCTTAATTTGTCACACACGATTATTTTTACTAGTTAAACTAATAATCATATCGACATTTTGATTGGTCGTACAAATTTTTCATCGTAGTATAATGAAAATGAATGATTGATTGTATCTCGATTTTTCTAAAACACGATGCCGCTTTTGGCGGAGACGTCAAAGTCATATTTCGGGCCATAAACCAATCATTAAATATTGTTTCCAAACATTCTCATTTTTTAATATGGCCTACGGCATTGCCACGCATGATGGAGCTGATTTTTCTAGAAATCACTTTCATGGGACTTGGTATAGTCGACTAGCTATAATGTAACAAAATGCATGCATTAAAATCTAAAACAATAACTTGACTAAACTCTACCTAATGCCTGGTTTCCATTTAGTTGTGAGTGTCGGGAACATGTCAAGATGACTGACGTTCCACTGCTTGGATTCCACTGCTTGGGTTCCGGATTCAACTCCTTAGAGATTCGGTTGGATTCCGGATTCCACATTACTCGTGGATTCCGGATTCCAATTTATAACTTTCCAAGTTGAAGGCAAATAACCGCTGTTTGTTGCATACAGTTTTGCCCATATTTGGCAAATATTTTGTAAGAATATAAACACGCAAAAAAAACATAGTTACGTCCGTAGATATTTCATAAAATGTCAAGTGAGTAACCACTCCCATACGGCCATACTATCAATGGTCACTCCGTTACTGAGCGTAGAAATTCTTTTCTCAAATCGCTGCTGCTTCCAAAACATCGGATTCCGAAATCCAAAGGAAAAAATGTCCGATTCCGGATTACCTTACATGGGCCGACCCTGGCTATAAGAGGTTGACATACGGACTATTTCTCATCGGTGAGAATGACCTGTTCAGACAATTACGACTAAATAGAAATTGGAAACCAGGTTCAAAGCAGACCTGTAAGGGCTTGCAGTTTAAAGCAAGCAAATTAACGTGCTGTCGTTCAACATTTGATGGATGATTCAATACTATCCCCGGTCCTTGTTTGGACACATCGTTGCATGGCGTTATGTTGAATACAAATGATTGGTCGTAATTTTGCATGCTGAAATTATATTATAAGTAAAATTAGTAAATTGTAGGTACATCACGTTCCTACAAGCTAATTTACTTACAATCTTACAAATACTTGGTTTTATAGACATGAGCCGTAGGCAATAAACTTTTACACGCGCCATAAAGTTGTGTTCATAAGATATATCTCAGCAAATGACTCACTTCATCCTCCATAGTAATGACATAGTCAATGTCGATTGTCGCAGGAAATTTCCTCCAATTGTGGAAGCTCTGGATCATGGTGGTGATGCATGAAGAAGACTTTATCATGTTAGGGTCTACCCCTCATGTACCATCACCAAGTCATAAGTCCGAGTTCATGACATTGTATGAAATATTCATTAAAACGATAGCTTGTAAGTATTGGATTTGGACGCAAACAAAGCATTTATTGACATACTCGGATCTCGCAGTATACCGAAAGCTAATCGATCAAGTTAAATCTCTTACATAAAGCGATAGTGTGTTTACTATTTACCTAAGCATTTCATTATGGCAACACATTTACATACTGAGGGCAGCTTAAGTCAGTCGAGTGGGCGTAAGATCGGCAGATAGATAGCAAGATTATTTTATCACTATGTGAACGACCTTGCAATCATTAAAGACATTGAAAGGGACGACGGTTTTGAAACACTGTTAAGGTCATTGGGTACAAGTGAAACGGAAAGGAATGAAGATATAAAAAGACAATACAGTGGCAAATTTGAATGCTCCCAGCTCTTATAGCATCAACAATTTGTCGTCATGCAATTTTAATTAGATAAATATTCGCCAAAATATTTCTAACTAGCGGTCAACCTCCAGCTAAGTTGTGGGACATATATGTACACATGATATGTGCTCCGAGTGTTCTATCGCTTTGTCTTTGGATCAAACATACATTGGATTTCGACCGCTTGTTACACCGGCCAGGATACGACGTACATTGCAACGTCGGAAATGATGTAAACTCAATGTCAAAGGTAGATATGACTGTAGATTTGTTTTTAAAATTTGGTATCACTATCAGCCATCCGACTGTGATCTTATAATCTAGGTTACACTTCACAAGACTTTCTGATAATTAATAATAATGCCTTGAAGTTGAATGTTTACTCATGAAGGATTTAGTAAGACTTGTTTCATCGTTTCCCGGCGTCTCGCGACGGGGTGTTTTTAAGTTAGATATGCAAGAACAAGACATTATAAACTTTGCTAAAACATTTTCACTGTGTTTCCCGGCTAGTCATTAATTAAGGCAATGTTTGGACACTTATGAAATGAATGCATAGCATCTTTTGTTTGTTATTTTCAAACCGGCGCTCTCTTGAGAAATTATAGAAAACCTGATAATTTAGTTAGCCCATATAACACTAGTATGAAAAACGTGTGATGGTTTGTGGCATTGCTTGAGAACTCCTAGCATATGTATTATGCATATGTAACGGTAATAACGCTGCTTCTGATAAAAAATAATCTGTTAGATTTTATTGGCTTTCATTATCAAGACTGATGAACGCTGAGATTACAGTTCTGATTTCTCGGCTTTTTAGGACTTAATCCAGTAATTCTCTACTAGTTATACTACAGGCATTTACGTTTGTACGGTAAAGGCAATCTTTGAAGTTTAAGGATTAAAATTTGAGCAGTGTTTGTGTACCCAATGAGTATTAACGCTTAAATCAGATATTATGCCGTCATACTCAAGTATACAATATTGCCAAAATATCTATACTCTTTTTCAAAACAGCATCGCCATGAGGGCACAGCATAGTTGTCAATATATTTTCGTGAGTTAACGATATAATCCTTCAGACAGAATAAAATAGAAAAAATCTTCTGTTTATTTTACTTTTATTAATGTAGATTATCACGGCTGATCAGTATTTGCGTTGTTTCGACTTTTAATAGCTTAACGCGTGACGATTATTCATCCAGTTCTATATATAAAAACTAATTTGATCTGAATTTTTGAGACACAGAAGTGAAAATTTTCTGGCGAATCTGAACGTTTTTTCCCTTCTGAGCCCGGGAATAAAGCATGCATATGAATAAAACTACATCGCGATACTACCTGTTACATGCATGAACTGTATATATAGATCATGCACATTCATAGATTTTTAGCTATTTCTTATACAGACATTTCTGTTCTGAGTGTTCTCACACTAGTTAAAAATGCTTGTTCAGACACGCTCGTTCCTTAGATCATTAATCAATGTAATAGTCCCTATAAATACTTTCAACTTTTTACCACTTCCTAATCTATTTACATCGGAAGAAATTTGATGTCTTAATGAGCCTGTTATACAGGCCGTGCAAAATATAGAGCGACGTGCTCGAACCCAAGCATTCCTCGTACAAAAACGAAGCCTATATAAAAGTGCAAGTGTATATATAAATTCTTTCCCTTTTTCTCACACGGAAACTACGACGAATTTGAGGTCCTAAAGAGCTGGGGTCGGTTATATCAAGCCCGTTTAGCTTAAACGGTGGATAAGTCCAAAATAGAAAGAAAGTCTATCGTTTTACTAAACAAGCGAACTAAATGTTTTTTACCTTAATACAAAGATACTGTTTAAAACTACATATTCAGTACATAATATTCAAGTTGACTCATTCAAGAGAGACATAAGAGTGTTATTTAAATTTGGCTTTGACATTGGCCCCAGTTCTATAGTTTTCGATTATCAGATCTGGTTTTAGAATCGTTTGCAATTGTATATATAACGACATCCCCGTATAGAACCAGTGAAAATTTAATTCATTTCGCCGGTTGACAATTGAATAGGGCCGGCGAATTCAAACAATTCACCTCTCTCAGGGTAATGTATCTTTGTTAGCCGCGCGTTATTGAGCAACGGTTAGTAGCAAACACTTATTAATTTGATAGATTTACTATATTTATTCAGATCTCGGACATTAAAATTTTCAATACCTTATTTCCTACAAAATTTGACCCGTTTCCAAAGCAATCTGGTATCGTGCAAAACAGGTCAGTGTAAAAGAATCGATCTGAGGCGTCACTTAGGCGCGATAGATAGGCTTTCGTCAAATTCAATTTACCGATAGATATTGATTACTATTCTAATAACAGTTGACAGTATGCTGCTGTAATGAGTATTTCATTTAGTGACTTAGCGTTTGTCTACACGATCAGTTTCCGACAAAGGAGTGTTATGTATATACATGGGGACCACAACTAGTCTAGTGGTGGGATAAATAATTCACTCCAATTGAGGAATAATTGGCCACTCATGGCACAAAGCTAAGACATAAAAAGTCTCATTACTGGTGTTTGAACTCGACCAAACCATGGAGTGCCCCAAATGGCAAGTTTATAAAAAAATGCCGACAGTGAGACGGTTACGAAGAATGCAATGGAACGTAAATTTCATGAACCCTATATCAATGCAGTGTGCATGCACGTCTATAAAACAGCGGTCACTAAACTTGCTTTATGTGCACAATTCCCTAATGACCTCATTGTGACTTTTCAAGCCGTTTAGACAAAAAACACGTGCATCAAATTGAACTACATTATAATACAAAGGGCATCCCAAACATTGTGAAACAGTAAAAATTGTAGTCTTATATGTATATTATTATAAGTACCGTGGTGGAGTTGTTTGTCTTAACTTTATCTGATTACGTGAAAAGGATAGGAGTCAATTCAATCGTTAGGGTCTATGTATGCATTCAGTTCACAAAATAGTATCGTCCTGTTCTCATCCTATCCCTCAGCCGGACAGTTGGAGTCAATCCAATTTTGTTGGACACAATGACGTATGGAATATAGCACGGGGTGCATGGTATTCCTATTAGGGAGATTTAGGTCGAGGACGCGAACGTCAAAGAGGACGTGAAAATGGCGAATAAATGGGGTAGCATGTCCATATATAGGCGTATCACGCCATTTATTCGCCATTCTCACGTCCTCTTTGACGTTCGCGTCCTCGAGCTGAATCTGCTTATTAATTGTAATTCAACAAACGATGAAACCATTCACCAGAAATGAATGGATTGAAATAGATTCTGTACATATTTGTATTACGCGCGGAAAAAATCACCTCTTTCGGCTTAAAAACGATCGACTGTACCGCGCGAGAATTCTGTTATTGCAGGGCTATATTTTCCCAATTTTTTGTTGGATTTCATTATTTTTGCTTACTGCAAAATTAATATTTAGTCTACTGTATGGAATCAGCTTTTGGTGCGAGGCTGCGCCAACCAACCTCTCTCTTTTTGATGCAGTTCAGACAAAGACAGGCAAAGCAGCCAGTATGAGTTTATATAACAATCTTATGTATATTTCTTTCTAGTTTTCTAGATGAGTGTTCAAAGGTTTGACCAATGAGGCTATATATGGGATATGTACATTAAACCACTGCAATATATTATATTCATATTCTTATGGTATCCTGTTTTACGTATGGCTAGTAAAGAAGTCGACACAACACACATTATGGACACTGAAACATTGGACGAAAATAAAACGAATTTAAAAATGATAAAACATTTAAAGAAGGACTCCAATTGCAAAGTTAGTGATATTCGGTCAGACGAAACACAAACAAGTATGACAGAGTATATTTCAACAGACGTCTGTCTCATATTTCTGTGTCACCTTACAACGAGGAGATCTACTGAATGTGTTCTTGCAACCACTGCGTTATTTTTCTGGAAAGTGAGCGCATTTCCGGTAAATTGTATTTCAAGTGCTGATTGCACACGGGAAAATGGAGCGCGAAAATCAAGAAGTGTCTCGACAAATAATGAATTTGATAGAGGTAAAATTACAAATACTACTATTACTATAGGTCCCATGCATAAATGCGGCTGCAGTAAAGTGTTTTTATGACATTCTAATATATAAGAAAACCTAGAAATAAGGCAATGAATTGGGTCGACCGTTCCAAACACCAATTGCCATATATTATTCACTATTCAGTACAGAAAAAAATTTATTTAATGCTGATATAATGTTGACCATCATACACAGAATATACTTATGATGAGTGAAACCTGTTATGCTGTACGATTTTTAAGCAACTAATATTTTGTAAAAGCTTTAAACCTTCTAAGTTTTTGTATAATTAATTTGTGCCAGAAAAGAAACATGATACCAAATCTTAAACTATATTTTAAACTTTAACGTGCGTACACGTACGTGCAAGAACACGATAGCAGAAAGCAGTTCTTAGGGTATGATGTACCAAACTTTTATCTTATCCAGGAGAGTGCGAAAAAGATTGGTTTAAGTTTGATGGCAAGTGCTTCCAGCTTACGAGAGAGATCATGAACTATAACTTAGCGGATAAACATTGCCAATCTTTGGAATCAGCACTAGCTAATATAGAAACCATGGAGCAGAACACTTTTGTCAGGAATCTGGCTAATAACTTTGGCATATCTGGCTATCTGTGGACCGGCGTGAAAAGGTTGTGCAAAAATTGTACACGGACTGTGGCAGGTTATATGAATTGGTTGCCAAAGCAACGGAGTGGCGTAAGCAAATGTGTGACGATGAATCCAGATGGCCTATGGCAAGATTTTGACTGCGCATATATGTTCGCCTTCGTTTGTGTAAAAGGTCGGCACATTTGTTAATATTTTTCTCTTAGTAAATATTTCGTATGGTAAAAACCTTATATCAATTCGCAACCGGATAGAATAGATATCGCTATAGTAGCGCAATGTCGATTTTAAAAACACTTTTTTACGAATTTAAATCGTTCAGGAAAACAATTTTAAAATGTTTGTTATGTCACAACAACTAGGCGAGGAAGTTCTTTATAAGCTGGCCAATCCTCACTCCATGCAACCAGTTTTAACATTGCTATTGTAGTATTTCATGAATTTTATTCTCGATCGACATTTCCGCCATCTTTTTATACTGAAAAAATTGTAACCGCATTTTTTTATTCCTATATAGTCCTGAGAGAGACTTACACAAAGACACAATTATTGGTCGCTCTACTTGTACCAATCATCTCATGTCTCACGATCGCGATATCATTCACTGCGGTACTTTTGGTCAGCAGTGTCCGGCGGGTAAATCAACCTTTTAAGGTGGCAAGCCGTTACCGGAGCACGAAGAAAGAACGTAAACCTACGACTTGGGTAATGGTCGACATGTTACGTCGAACTTCGCTAAGTCGGAGAGGTTCGCGATTGAAACCACAGCGCGGTTCTGCTCCCAGTATCGAGATAACAAAAGCTGCTGAGGACATAAACGGTACGGAAATATTTCTACAAGTTATCGAGGCAAACAAACACATTGAAGTTTTCAATTCACAATTTGCGAACAAGATGAAAAACGATGGACAGTTCACTGAACAGAAACGTATTGAAAGCCTCCATGGCCATTAGGGTAGAGCAATAAGATTAGAGCTTCTTTTTCCCCAAATAGCTAAATAAGAGGATTGTCCACAAATCGTTAATTGAAATTTCAATTTGTTTGTTTGTTTGCCTCAGTCTGGGCAATTCGTGAGTCGAATTATGTTTGTAAAAAAGATGAGATTGTAATAACATTTTTTGTGCCCTAATGTTTGTAATTGATATACCAAACTCTGCAGGTAAAGTAGTCTCCAATGGTGAGGACAAGAAAAAGCCTTGGTATAAACGAGGAGGAAATGAAAATAAAAAACTCAAAGTCCCTGAGGAAAGAAGGCGGTCAAGCAACTCCAGCTCAACTGGAAACTCAAGTTTATACGAACTGCTTGCAAGGCTCAACAAAATGGAGTTTGAACCTCCAATTGAAACAAGTTTCACTGAAACCGATGAAGTAAATAGTGCAGAAGCCGGTATCGGCACGATTGAGAATATACAAATGAAACAGCTGAGTGAGAATAAAAATGGACTCAAACCCCAATTCATCGAAGATGATTGTGGACTGAGCGGGAGCGACAAGCAACTTGTTCAAAAGCAACAAAATACTGATGATACCGTACACAGTCAGGTCTCGTTTCGAAACATGGCTTTTAGAGATTCCGTGGTTAGTGTTGAGGCAGACGGTAGCGGGATAGCAAAGGTTATTTCAGTACAACAGGTGAACCAAAGGGATTCGATGACAAAGTTGGAGAACATACAAAATATCACGAGTGAAGCTGAACACCATGAATTAGGTTCACCTGAAAGCCCGTGTACTTCTTCACATAGCTCACGTGGCGAAAAAGAAAATGAAACAAGCGGAAACACGCAGACAGTGAGAGCAGATGTGCATCAAGTTTCCGATAGTACGATTATTCCCGCTCGAAATGGGACCGATAAAAAACAGACCGTCAGAAAACCTTCAAAAGGCAAAGTAATATGGACATATAGTTTATAGAACTAATTTATATTTTAAATATATTGTGTATAAATGAATAGAAAAATAAACGCATTAATTATGAACGGATAAAAAACGCGCATCAAATTTCTTCCCACCCCATTTCCCCTCTGTCCTCTACAACGACTAGGCTGTAGAAACAGGATTGAACACAGAACGAAAACTTGGAACAAAATATTATGCTGCGTTTATGGAAGAAATAGCATACATACTGACATTGCTTACGCTTGCATAAATGCGATCCGTTTTGTACCAACTTTAATTCTCGTCCTTTGATTCAGGATAGGTTTGCTGCCACCTTTCCCAAATTTATAACGTTCTGTTGAGACGCTGGCTTGTTTGTCGATTGTCTCGCTTGAAATACGAGGTCCTTTATATTCCAAACTTTTACGATCATTTAAAGCTTTTTTCACCTTTTTGGAAGACTAAAACACAACGTGAGAACATTTTATCTACCATAGCGGTACCATATCACAATTTACACCACAATGCTAACCACTCCATACTTCATCACATCATATTTTACCATACCATACATCATCACACCATATTTTACCATACTATACTTCATCACACCATATTTTACCATACTATATACTTCATCACACCATATTTTACCATACCATACTTCATCACACCATATTTTACCATACTATATACTTCATCACATCATATTTTACCATACCATACTTCATCACACCATATTTTACCATACCATACTTCATCACACCATATTTTACCATACTATATACTTCATCACACCATATTTTACCATACCATACTTCATCACATCATATTTTACCATACCATACTTCATCACATCATATTTTACCATATCACATCATATTTTACCACACCATACTTCATCACACCGTATTCACTACGAAACTCTACAATAACTACCATACTTCATCACACAATACCGAACCATACCATCACACCATACCCTATCAAACTTCACTATGGTATCACTATGCCATGCCACAAACAAACTACACCATGCTAAACCGAAAAAAAACTGAACCAGTTGATATGCACGAGGCTGTTTGTAAAGATAAATGTGTATAAGTCTACCAGAAGTCTAACGTACCTGGAATTTACTATCAATATGATTGGAATGAAAATCCTTCTCTTTCAGACACAATTTTAATTTCTGTTCATTTATGGGTGGTAAAACTGACCTTACAGCAAGGTCTTTACTACCTGGAAAAAACATCAAAATAATTAGTATCCTAGTTACCAAAATCTCGATAAACTCGAAAATTTTGCAGCAGAAAGACAGGAATGAACGGTTGTTGAACACGCGGCTGTTAGTAAAAGCCCTGTTACACGGTGCAATTTTTCTTGCAACTTGCAATGCAATTCTACTTCTAAGAGATGTAAATTAATGAAGAATCTTGCAGAAGAAAAGTGCATGAAGTGTTATAATAAACACAAAAGTTTCGTTGTTCCCAAATATACATCTCTCAAAAGTAGAATTGCATTGCAAGTTGCAAGAAAAATTGCACCATGTAACAGGGCTTTAAGTTCCTGTCATCACCAAACTAAGAAATGCCAACCATTTCGGGGAATACAACATTGATCAAAGTAGATTGAGCTTCGATTTTGAGCTATTAATCAGTAAATTCAAGAGCCGAGGCACTGTCACTATTTTACCATCTGCTGCACGATAATACTTAGCGTAGTCAAATTACCTTTCATAGAGTAGTTACTCCACAAAACAGGAAACACTTCACTGATCGCTTGTTGTACGGACTGTGCTACAAGAATCCCAGTTGGAGACTGTAATATATCTTCGATAGATTTGTCTGGATAAAGTCTCGAAAATAACGACATAATACTCCGATTACTTGGCTCCAGGCTCAAACAACACGTCACATCATATTTTGCTCCTTCATAGTCCTGTGTACAGAGATAAAATTTATTCAACGCTTCAATCATGCATGTCAAAGTAACTATTACCCTCAGTGATCAAGCCTACCTGATCTATCTAAAACAGGCCTCGGGAAATAATAGATCATGGACCAGTTGTCAAACGCTGTATACCTGATCGTGATTTCTAACCATTTTAAAATGCTTGAAAAGCAATAAAATTTAAAGAGCTATCCAGCTTTGGTACAACTGGCCCCAGATCTTAAAAGGTCTCATGTTATTCACACAAGAGAGAGACGTCTGGTAATACTTATTTTGGGTTTTCATCGTTTGGGGAACAGTGACGCAAATACAGAAAAAGTACCTCTAACATGTATCTTGCCCGAGCCCGCGACGTGTAGTAGACAGAAACCTTCGGATTGTACTGAATCGCTAAGTCAAAATACTCGAAAGCTTGGACGTATCGTTTGTCAGCATAACTAAGTAATCCAAGTTCATTATAAACCACTGAAAGACGAACTTTGACTGAACAATCCTTGACATCTATTTCCAAAGCTTGGTTGTAGTCACTGAGAGCGAAGTCGAACTCGAACATTCTGAAGAAACAGTCTATGGATGGAAAATATGGTTGATCAATAATTATTCGCTATTTCATCTTTTTCGTGTAGTCCAACGAAAATTATGGTAAAGAATGGACCACTTGCACAATAGATCAACTTTTGATTTGAGCATCAAACTGAAAGGAGTTTCCGAAAAGAACAAACATTGTGCTCTTTTTAGCTTTGGTGATTTATTTCCTTGTTGTTACCTAGATCATAAGTGGGTCTATTATCCCATACCAGCACGGCAAAAAAAACAGTAATTACCATCCTCGTGCCCAGGTTTTCCGCGTAATAGGTGTGCGAAAAGCGTGGGAACGAGGACGAATAATTGCGTGTTTCTTAATACCGAATTCTTATATAATAATTTTGTTGTCTAACCTCCTCTGTTGATATACAATCCCTTTTCATTCTTCTCTTCTTTTATTGCTTTGTTCAACAAAACGATTGCTTCTTCATAAAATGCCTTACTACAAAATCGATACAATAACATTAATGGACAATTCCCGATTACATCATTGACTAGGTTTTTCAACGGAACAAAAGAAAAAGAGCATCCCAGATAATGAAAATTTTATACATTTTTCCATTACGTCCCAAAAATTGATACCTTTTTTCGCGAGCATATAAAAAACTACCTAGTCTCAGACTATATTTTCTGCATTTCACAATCGTTTTGCAAACAAATCGGAATTATACTACATTGGGGATACTTTTTCTAGCTGGTAGTAGTGATTGATTAATTTAGTTCAAAACTTTCAAAGTCAAAATAGTCGCGACAGTCAAAAGATACGTCATAAGCAGAGGGTGTATAAAAAAACGGAACACTAAAACCTGGTTCACGCGAGTGAAATAAGCATAAGCAAAATACAAAAAAAAACTTTTCCTCCGGGGTCAAAAAGACAAAGGAATTTTCTTTTGTCCGAGGTTCGCTTATGCTTGTGCTTATATGTCGATGCTTATGTTACAACGCTTCATTGCATTTCTTTGTTTTGCCTTTTGTCTTTCCTTATGCTTGTTCTTATTTCACTCGCGTGAAACAGGCTTAAATATTCATGAATATTCCATCTTTTGTGATCGAATGGGAAGCGATACATCTTGTGCAGGGTAAGTAAAAAACTGATGTCTATGTTCATATATATGCAAATTTTACCACATAACGCCTGCAATTTGACAACTGAGTTGCCTAAAGATAATCATTCATTAATTTAAAAGATAAACCCCCTTTGCATTTAAATCGCATACGAAAGATAATACAATTATAATCACTTCCGCCTTTTGAAGTCACAAGAGAATTGTCGCGGCAAATTTGCATATCAGTTTTTACGTATCCTGAATAAGGGTCTGCTCGCACAATCCAATTTTGCCGGCTCCAATTCACTTCTGATGGATGTTTTATAGTCTGTTGACTTGCAATATATATGGGCGCGAATCAACTGAAACTGATGCAATACAGCTTTATTAATACAACAGACGAAATTCCATACGTCAGAAGTGAATCGGATTCAACAAAATTGGATCTTAAGAAAGGACAGTGGATAACAAGAGCTTTAGAGTATAAAAAAGCGTGCATTGTTTACCTAAAGCACTCGACGGCAAAATCGTTGTAACAGAGCAACAGCTGTCTTTGAGCTTCTTTATAAACTTTGTGAGAGAAATCATGATCTTGTTTATCCATAGCAACAAGATAATCGTCAATGGCAGAGTTGAAGTCTGACAACTGACGGTGCAAGGCTCCCCTGAAATTATATCAGGAATACAGAAATAAGAGCTTGTACAGTTAAAACTCTATACTAAAATGAATTAAGACAGTTATTAAGACACTGTAAAAATGCTCGAAGGTCGTAGGGCAAGCCTGTTACATTTTCTTAGCTTTGAAATCGTTCATTGTACCATATGGGCTGATTCAAGTCTAAAACACGAAGATCAGAAAACATTTAATGAGGGCAAACCAAAGATTTTCTCACCGAAATATATGATATTCCGCACAGCCAGGGTTTGATTCGACTGCATTTGAAAACTTCAGTAAAGCCTCCTGTGTCTTACCAAGAAGTTGAAGTTTGATGCCCTAAAAAGAGGAAATATATAATATTGCAGATCGTATCTTTAAAGCCTGCCTCACACGAGTGAAATAAGCACAAGCATCAGGAAAGACAAAAGCCAAAACAAAGAAATGCATGCAATGAGGTGTGCGACATAATTACGTAAAACTCGAAGGATGAAGTCCGCCGCACACGAGAGCTATAATTAGCTGAGCTAAAGACCTCGCGTGGTTGTTAGTTCAGCTAGTTAAGCCGGTTTTCCACTAGCGATATTTTTCGCGCGAAGCGACATTTACTTTTGTTTCAGAGCTCTCAACTGCAACCATCTGGAACAAATTGCTCAAATACAAAGGAATAAAGTCGCTTCGCGCGAAAAATATCGCTAGTGGAAAACCGGCTTAACTCTCGTATGCGGGATATGTTTCTCGTGAGGAATTCGCCCCGTGAGGCAAGTTTCTCACGTTTGCGGATGGTTTTCGGGCTGAGCTAACTGGTAACTGCCTCGCGAGGTCGTTACGACGTTAGCTCAGCTGAAGGCACTCGTGTGCGGCGGGTTTGGAACAAAAGACATTTGAAAAGAAAATCCCTTTCGATTTGTCTTTTTGACTTATACATAGAAGAAAATATTCCTTTTGCAATTCTGCTTATGCTTATTTCACTTGTGTGAACCAGGCTTTAACAACTAATTTAAGCTTTCTTTAAGCTATGATCAACAAAATCACATGGGTTCAGTGATAGATCGAGGTTTCAGTGATAAGTCGAGGTTGCAGGCATGACAGGAAAGGGTCACACGTTTATTATCCAGACAGGCGTGAATCCAGCATAAACATAACTATTTCAACCATCGTGAAAACTAAATTACCTGTTCTTTAAAAGTTTCCGCTTTTGCAATCAATACACCCAACATCATTTTGGCTTCAGAGTGATCTGGGTCCAACTTCAGGGCATCCGTGATATCGTAGTAACTCAGACTGTCCTAAAATAATCACCAACAAAATTAATATGATTAGCTTTCATGACAACCAACAATAAATCTTTGACTGTGGGTGATTAACAAAACTGTTTTTAATATGCAATCCCACTTACTATAATAACGTCAGTTTAAAGCTCTAATTTTTAGCCGTTTTTCAGCTGAGCTGCTGAACGTCATTAACTATGCATGAGCAGCATGGCCAGCAAAGGTTATAAAAAATTCATTCAAAAAAAGCAAACACTGTAGCTGATCACTGATGTGCCAGCTAGATGCAGGAACAACAAAACTATCTCACTGTATACATGTCATGAATTCAACCTTATCACCAGTTTCGGCCTCCTGTGCGTGCATGCAACCTTTTGAGAAATTTTTTTTCCCAAACTATTTTGGGAAATTTCTAATTAACATTTAAATATATATGAATACAAATTGACTCACATTTCTAAACAGTTGATGAAGTCTAGCTCTCATAATCAACAGATCAGCATTGTCATTTTCAACATTCAACCTTTTGTTGACCAAAGCCAAGCATTCTCCATGCCTCTGTAATGCTGCCAAGCAAGCAACGCTTTTGGAAAGAAACAGGGAGTGGCAAAATTTAGGTTCTTCCCAGTAAGATAATTTTGAAAAAACTGAGCAAGGGATTGTTTGATTATATTTCATATGTCATTTTCATGTTATTGGTATTCTGATTTTTATTGTTTTAAAATCTCTTAATTTAACATCCTAACATGAATAATACTAACCTGCGAGTATGGTAGCCAATTACATCTGGTTTCATTTCTGCTGCTCGTGAGAAACACTCTAATGCATCAGCATATTTTTTACAATCAAATAAACATTGTCCTTTAGTATAATATATTGATGCTAATCTTGAATAATATTGATCTTCATCAGGGTCTAATATACATGCTTTCTTGTAATTTAGGATTGCAGATTGAAAGTCACAAAGTTGTAGAAATTTCTCTCCTCGCTCAATGTAGTATTTGCATTCTGTTGGTTTGAGAGATATAGCTTTTGTCAATGAGGAAATGCACTTTATAGGATCTTTTTCATCACTACCAGCAACATAGCTATAAAAAAATTTCACATATATTTTAACAAAAAAAACATACAGCACCTTGCAAATCAAATCAGTGAAGCTTTAGGGATGAAAAATTCCAAATAATAAAATCTTGAGAGAATCAAGATGTGGGATATGATCACTTGGGCTACCATAGCGTAGGTCGAGCAAGTTGAAAAATGGGTTCGGTTTTTCCTTTTGCGTTGTCAGTTTCGTCAAACTTTCGCAGGTTGAATAGAAGGAATGGTAGGATTTAATAAAATCATTACATCTAGTGTATCTATAAAATCTAGGGTATTAAAATGAACGTAACAGAGCAAAGCATCTTAAATGATAAAGAATAAATCAACTTATCAACATACTGTTCTTCTGCTCGGCTCCATATGACTATATTTGATTTAACACTAGATCTTCGTCGCGATCTAGCTGTACTGTTTAATTCCTGCAGTTGAAATGAAGTTACTATTTGCTTCTTTCTCTCGCTCAATTCTTGTTCCAAAGCTTGAACTATCTCGCTAGTCATATCGAGAACGATGTCCTTCCTATTCGAATTTTCGCTGTCTGAAATTGTCGCTCCTTCATCCTGAATTTTGCAGCTTTTTGTTTCAATTTTCTCGTCGGGGTGTTGTTTTTTATAATCTTTTCCTTCTTCGTTTTCTTTTGTGTTGTTCGGTTGAGCTTCTGACATCCCATAAACAGTATAAGTTCATCAAATTAATATTTAAAAGCTTATATTTTTCACTTTGTATAAATTTCAATTGCCCATTTAAAAGATCACGTTTGATTACCATGGTAACAAAAAAAGTTTATAATAAGGTGGCTCCCAGTCACTGGTGGCTCCACTGGGTGGCTGCTGCTGCTCACAACCTTTGGGTCTCCGGGCAATCCTCGTCACTGCTCTGCCTCTTAATACAGGTTCTGTGGCTCTATCAAAACAGAAAAAAACCCTTTCGACAGAAAATACTCCTCCAACCAGGGCTGCCGGAGCCACGAGGAGCAGCTGCCCTCCGCTTACGAAGGCAAACAGGGAGGCCTGTGCCTTTTGTCACCATATCCTACATTCACCATAATTCCCATATGCGTGCTGATCGCATAAAACTGATACCATTAAATCTTCTGTAGCTCTGAAAATGTGCCCTTTTCTTAAATTTCGCTGTCTGTCGCTCTAAAATGCGTCCAGTGACCCTACCTACAACCCACCCTCCTCCAGAAAAAAAACTTTCAACCACATTTGTCAATTTATTTCAATATATTATTGACCATTTAAAAGTCACACTACGGTCCCCGTGAACAGTCTGCCGGTTAAAATGGACGACATGCGCTTTAGACTAATTTCATTCTCAGCGATAAATACGGAAAATATAACCATGCGAAGTTGACGAAGTTTTGTATAATTTTGTATTACGGCCGAAGTTTGTAACTAAACAAGACGCCTGTTCTGGCGTTAACTCCAGCGTGCTTTGCACGTGCCTGTCTTTAATATAAAGCTTGAAGCTTCTAAACATAAACAATGTTCATACTCATTTAGATGCCTTGCGAACCTAAAATCTAAATGTTGTTCGATCGCAACATTCAGAAGCATATCGTACTTAAAAAACTAGTATATTTCGCGCCAAAACACACTTGCGACGACGAAAAAAAATTAGAAAAAAAAACAAAACCCTAGGCGAATTTTCAACTCCGTCGCTGACGCCGGAGTAAAAAGCTTTGTGGCATTGCATCGGCATCGCAAGGGCTCGTAGACTTTAATTTGTGTATAAATTCCACTCTAATTCAATGCATCAACTTAGTCACTATTTGTTACTTTTCTCCATTGAGATGAATGCTTTTCTCTCTTCACCTTTAGCACCAGCTGATGAATATAACTACAGGGGCTGGATTTTGGCTGGGTGACCATTGAAATGTTTTGCAAAAAGCGCCTATAATGGTATTTCCACGTGGTAACGCAAGAAAATTCAAAATATAACCAAGCCCGCGGTCAACTTCGCATATTACATTTGACTCATGTTAGCGCATGTTAATTAATCAAGTTCCACGCTTGCTATCTTAGTTTTTTATTTGATATTTAATAATAAGCGTTACATGTATTTCCTCTGAAATTTGACAAAATCATATGTTGCTCAAAATTTACAGATAAAGCTGCGATTGGACTGCGTTGTTTTGCGCGCGCACATGCATACCTTCAAATTTGTTTCCTTCCTGGGTCTTTAAATGGTCTGAAGGGTACGTGTCATCCTTCCACCATGCATGTGTCCTCCAAAGCCTGGTATACACACTATTTCAACTCGCCAGGCAACGTTCTGATAACTATCTTTTGGTTGCTCTTTTTCTCAGTGTTCTGTGAAATCCCTAAATCTTATAATTAAAACCTCTAGTTGCTATTAGTGGTGCCGGCACACAAATAAATGTACGACGGATTGTAGGAATAAGGCATCTACTGTACATATGTACTACGTGCTAGATTATGATCTCAGCGAGATATATATATTCGGCTTATTCACTCCGGAACCGCAAGATTTAAAAGAGCCTGGCTTGCGAGGTTGATTGTGCACAATTTATCATAATCATTTTATTCGTTTCGAACGTCTATATACAGGTGCATGTATACATTTTAATTATAGGCTTTCTGCTCTATTGATGCATGATGTTATAAAATAGCCCAGTCTATATATCTCACTAATTTTTTTTTAACATAAAACAGGATTCTATATACCAATCAAAACAAACCCCTCCCTACATTAATTTCTATAATGATTTGCCTTCTTCAGACGACGAACCTTTCATGTGCCGAATCGAATGCAAATTAACATTGATATTAGGTTCGGCACATGAAAAGTTCGACGTTTGAAACGGTTTTCAGTCAGTAACACCAGCTAGTTCGGTAGAAATTATATATATTATAATAGTGTGCTGGACACGGTATTACATTTTTTCTAAATAGTTCAAAATGGCGAATACATAGACGTGCCGGCTTGAAATATTCAGTATAATTTGTAACTTATTAAAACTTTAAAAAACAACCTTCGTTTCCACCATAGTCTGCTAGCGTGTCCTCTGATGAATTGTTTACCACAATGCTTGGTACGTTAAAACTATAAGAGACACAAGTACAACTGATGCTAATATAAATTACCATATTGTGACGACGTACACTGCTTACAATATACCACCATCCATATATACAGTTAATTAAATTTTCGCAATACGGTTATACCTTATAGCTATACCTTATACTACAGCCTAGTATAGAGCATTTTTCAATTGAGCTATATAGCTATAATAGATGGTGGTTGGTTCGAAATTTTGAAGATAAAATGATTCCAATGTATTAGAGTACAAAAGACCAAACCGGAAACATTGCAATTGTGAAAAATGATCATGCAACAATAGCCTGACCTGAAATTAACGGGGTTCAAAATATCTATTGCATGAAACCTTCCAGGGGGATGGGAAGGCATGATCCCCTGGAAGAAATTTGTCTCTTCTGAATCGTGATTTGCAGTGTTTCTATAACACGAAGATTGCATCGGATGAAGTACTGAAGTAACTACAAAAAAGCGGGGATTATATGTACCTAAATAATTTGATCACTATATAATATGGTCTGAGTGATGCTATATTAGCCACTTACCATGTCATCGGGACCATCTGGACTATCAATGATGCAAATATTGAAAGCAATACATTTCCCTCCTCTTTTTTTAACTTCAAAATGCACTGTGGTTCCTTCAACAACCCTCTTTGATTTGTTACCATTGATGTCTTTATTACGGAAATGTAAATTGCTTTTTGTTCCAGTGACCAGTTTACTATTGCTTATTGTGCCTCCATCGTCTGTTGTGCTGCACACGATACCTTCCTGTATACCAGCTCCAATAAAGCCAGCCCATCTATTTCTTAATATGGATTTATTCTATAAATAGATGGTGAAGATTTTTCATTATTATTATTATATCATATTATGAAGTTACTTCTCCAAAGAGGCACACAGACTGATTTTTTCAGCTTCTGGCAAAGTTTTCTTGACTTCATTATACGAGTTACCGTGTATAAATTGAATTTATTTCAGTGCCATTACATTTTTTCAATGCCGTTAAAGCTATACATAAAATTTCAAAAGAGGTGGACGCAGTATGAAGAAATGAATAAAGCAGTATGAGCCCAAAAAAGTGCCTTGAATGCATTCAAAGAAACGTGTCAAATAGGGTGACCTATACACACTGGCAGAGGCAAAAAAATTATTCCGTATTTCAGTAAATATTTTTTGCTAATTTTCACCTGAACTAGTATATCTGTTGCTTCGGAACGATCATCTTTAGTTCTGACGCAGAATTGTACACGATCTCCACACTTTGGGGAAATTCCTCTTTTAAGAAGATTTCGCCTACTAAAATAGATATTCCTGCCAGTTCTGTCGTTATTGGGCGTGATGAAACCATAACCATTGTCGGGGAAAAAATTCTCAACGACACCTTCTTGACACCTTGAATCGTTGCTTATCAAAGATGAAGATTTTTTTTTCCTAGATTGAATTGCTCCTTTTAATTGACATGAATTAAAATTATTAAAAGTATTGAGTAAACTTCTCCTTACATGCACATAATCGTTGACGTTGTAAAACACAAGAAAAAGGTATTTTCGGTCTTTTAGGTGCTATAAACGCAGTGACATAATGACTGAAAATGACGTTGCTATACAATCTGTAGAGAGAACCAGCTGGATTATATCTCAAATGGGATTGAACTGACGGCTTAGAAATATTTGTAAATATGAATTTAAAGATTAATTAGATATTGTTGTAATAGTTGGTCTTCAAGCTTTTTATACACGGAGCTATTTATTTAAGAACTATTGTATCTTTGCAACAGTTGAGTTTACTGGTGTATCTAAAAACATTCTCCAATATATGTTAGACCTATAGAAATAAAAATGCCGGCTAAAATTCGAAATTTCTATTTCATGACAAAGTTTATAAATCAGGATATATTTCAACTGTCTTCACATCAGCGTGCATGTTTGCATATAATGACTGGTTAGCTAATACAGTTCCTACATTTTGTTCCGATACTTAACGTATATATATAGCTGTGAAGGCTTCCCCCGCGTGAACTTGCTTGGAGTGTTATCAGCAATATTATAGTTAAATTTGATGACCAATTATCATAGTAAATTAGATCTAAATTTAGTAAATCAATAAACAAACTGTCCATCATGCATATGCATTTCGTCGAGTCGCGCCTTTTTTGTTGAGTCGCGCCTTTTTTGTTGAGTCGTGTCTTTTTCTAGCCGCGCCATTTTTGTCACAACAATTGCTCGCGAGGCGCGCCAATGCCATGGACCTTATGTGCTATAGATCAACTTTTGATCTGGGCAATAAAAAGGAAATTTTTTAAATTTTTCTAAAATTATGCGCTTCTATACGCGCGTGTGTACCTACCTTTTCATCGCATCTATCATTGACTGGCGAAGGTTTTCGTCCTACAAATAATCGAAATATTTTATTTTTTTAATACTTTGAAAATGGTTTAGAGAGGACCGATCATACATGAAACATTCATAAGAAAGAACCTAAAATTAAAGTCCTTAAAAAAATGTTGGGCTCAGTGTAGTGTTCGCGCACTAGTCGAAAGTACGGTGACAGTCTTTGTTATTTTAATTTGTAAGATACGTTGATATTGTCTCTAAAAAAGTTTGTTTGTTAAACTTTTTCACATCGCTTTGAAGTACTTTATGCCTCGCAGATTTTGTAAACCATGACGTCATAGGGCCCCAGAAAAATTTTTGCCCTGGGCCCCACAATTTCTCTCGGCGGCCCTGTTTGTAATTAGTTCTGAAACAAAATTGTAGATTTTCATACCTTTAACACACGAATATCTGCGGCACGAGTTCGCTTAGTTAACTTCTCAACTTTGAATTCCAACAGCATTTGGACAGAAATATTTCCTTCGAGTTCTTTTACAGGCACTCTCAGTTGTGCAGCGTGGAAAAAAAGTTTATCGTCAATGTGGGGATTAATTATGAAGCCAAAACCATCTTCAGAATTAATAGAGTCAACTAAACCTTGCATAATTTGATCACCGTAAGCATCCCATTTACCACCTTTCTTCGAAAGTGCTTCACATCGCAGTTGTTTCTCTTCGTGCTCTTTGCAGTTGTTTCTTTTTCCTTCGGTCTCTTCGACATCCATAGAACAAAGCGATGGAGACACAAGATTCTGATCATCAGAATTATCTTCTGGCTCACTGTTCTCAGACGAGGAATCATTTCTATTCACCATTTCTGAAAAGTCACTAGGATGCAGTACATCGCGCATCACACGCCAAGCACTAAGACCAAAATTATCAAACGACAAACAGAACTTCACTGTATCGCCTTTTGAGGGCATTGAAGGTTGTGCATTCAATGGCACAAACCGGACCGAAAGTAGTTCTTTTAAGGTAATAGTACCTTGCCATTCACTGCGAATAGCCGTAATGGTTCCCTCCCATTGGGTGATTCCTTTTTCAAACAGGGAGGCTTCAATTGGTTTTCTTTTGTCAGACTTCGACGAGATGTTTGTACCTTCGATTAGATCATCATGGTGGAGTAGGCAATCAATCGATTCGATATGATGGCCATCTTTTGGATGTAGCCACTCCAGAGGGAGAGCAAAATCTTCTTTTCTACTCAATCTTTTAAGTTGCCGACGCTTTATTGCCTCTTCTGCTTTATCCATCCTGTCACGATCAGTGGGATATTTCAAGGCGAAGAGAACAAGCACAACAAAACTAAAACATAATATTCAATACAAAATATTCAGTAACAATGCAAGTCCTTTTTCCTACCCCTTAGCCGAGCGTGTCTATTTTCACAATTTTGGTTTTTTTTTCGTTGTGCTAAAGTCGTAACAACAAGAAGCAGCCTCGTTCCCCGGCTGTTTGAAGTACTTCGCCGAGAAAGCATGTACTAAATGCGCAAGGCGATTTTGCAACCTACCCAAGCACCCCTGCGCGCTCAGCGCTTTCTCCGCAAGGTACTTCAAAGAGCCTGGAAACGAGGCTAAGAAGAAGAAAAATCGTTAAATGTGCGATATTCGACATTCGTTATATCAATTATTTCGCATGAAATGTGGTGTAACAACTGCTTAAAATAGACAAAAAGAACTTCTCGACGTTTTGACCTATAAGGCACATGTTTTGTATGGCGGCATAACACGTGATAATAATTGACCAATAAAATCGGCTTGAAATGCTGTTGATAAATCAGACAAATGAAATTATACATACTTATAGAATTCAGCTTGAGGCGATCTTATCCGTTTCTTCTTCATTTTCGTGAACCATTCGTCTACCTTCTTTTTGACTTCGCGCAGATGTGGCACAGTTAATCGCCGACGCGAATATCTCATCCAGTATTTCATGAAACGATCGCCATGTCCTGAATGGGAATTGTATTCCTCCATTTTTATTAATTTTGTTTCAATTTCCTGAGGACTTAAAACCTTGTTTTCCATTTCTAGGGCATGATACAATATTTGAGTTTCCACAACTACTCCATTTAACCAAGCTGTGGAACCAACGAAAGGTTTAAAGCTCTCTTCTTGTTTTATTTTAGCGCACAACCGCTGCAGATTTTCTAATTCGCCGATACAGTCAAGAAAATTTTCTTTCCATTTTTCTTTTTGTTCAAAGTCGATAACTCGTTCATCGAGATGCTGATGCGCATCTGGAATCAGAGATAACAAATATCGTGAATTTGGTGAAATCTCTTCATCGCCGCGTTCCTTAATTTCATCAACTCTCTGAATTAAATAGTCCACGAAGCTATTATTTTTACCACCTCCTATCACTTCAATACCTGCTTTCATAACAGTAATTCGCAGCATTGCATCAGACACATAGCCATGGCTCATGTGTGGCTTTTTAGCCCGTACTGATTCGAAACATCCACTGCTTTCATAAGCATGTGATACAATTATTTCCATTTCCTCTTTTCCTTTTACCTTATCAGTAAGATGCAACACGTATTGGCGAATTATATCGCCATGAATATGATGTAAAAGAGGATCATCTTTTTGTTCATCAATGGCATCCTCAATTAATTTCTTTGCATCCTTAAAATTTTGGTACTCTGTCATTAGGTACTTAGCCAGATGCGCTCGTAAATGAGCGCGTATTGAAGATTGGTCTTTCTTGTCAAAGACTCTCACCAGATCATTCAGTGTATCCCGCGCAGTATCAGGATATTTTGCTCTCATAGATCTAATAAGCAGAGAAAATTTTTCACTTTCGTATTCACTAGTCACAAATAGTTTTCGAGTCAAGCGATCAATCTTTTTATTTGTAATACACTTGCTCAATACATTTGTAGCCATCGCAACAGAAATCGACTTAACAAATATCCAATAAGCATCGTCGCCATTCTGTGCATTGGTTGAAGTAGCACTTAACTGTTTTAAAATTTCCTGCGCCACTTCAAGAAATGACGTTCGGCGAGAATCTGTGCCATCCGTTCGTGGACTTAACAATTCTTGGAGATACTTATTTTCCATTACGTCGTCTAACTTTACAATAGGTTTCTTAAGAAAATGGACAAGCGCACTTGCTGGAACGAAATAGTCTGTAAATACATGAGTGAGCGATAAAAAGGCGAGTATATGTTTTTGCTGTTCATTTGCCAGACCCAATCTGAATTTAACATACTGTTTTAAACCTGTGAATTCATTACCAAAAGCAGTAAGGCTGAAATGAGCAAATGTTTGAGTCTTTTCATTATTTAGAAAATTATTCTCTTTTAATTTTAACAATTGTTTTTTCTTTCCTTTTGCCAGAACTGTAAGCACTTTTACCAGTTCTTCCATTTCTTTCGCATCTAGTCTTCGCCTTAGCTCAACTACCTTATACGGACTTGGTCCATACAGGTAGCTATCTCTTGCGCTTTTTGTGCGTACTTTTTGTGGTGATTTAATTTGCTTCCGTTTAGGTAAAGATTTGTTAGAAAAAACAGCTTCTTCCTCGCTCGTTGCTCTAGTCGAAATAAGCTCGGCAGGCTCGATCAAGATGAATATAACGTTTACATTTCTACGCTCAACCTTTCTTTTGAAATCCAGAAAATCTTGCAAGTGTGCGATATTCTCGTCAACAAGAAGTATAAGTGGCAATTTTGTTTTCTTATTAATTTCCTCGATGTGGCTTACCAAGCCATCACGTATCTCAATTAATTGTGCACATGGATACGTTTTGTGTTGGCCATAAAGAAATTGTTTACACATAGTTGTAGATCCTGCGCCGCGATCCACTTTCACAAAAATGAGAGAAACATGTGACTTTTTGTCGTTAATAAGAGCTTTAAATTTCTTTTCGAGATCATCCATTCTTGTTCTCCGTATGGCAATGTTACCACGCAAACCATCGTTTGAAATTTCAGAACCTGAAAAGAAATTCTTTCGTTCTTTGTTTAACAATGTTTCATCAAGTTTTCTTTCTTTCTTTATGTACATCATATCTACATACCCTGACAGATTTTGTCTAAGTCGTTGGGGTAATACCTGGGGAATAGTTTGATTGCCTCCGGACCGAAAGTGCTTTTTAAATGGTACTTGATAATCATCTTCGGGTCGGTAAGGTGATGGTAATGCGAGAGAGAGAAATCGTGCCAGCGCATGGGGAGGTGCAACATATACCCGGTCTTCAGATATAGTTTCCCAATTATCTTCTTGCAGCGGCTGTATTATTTTGCTGGTAATATCTGACCTAGCTTTAGGAGTCGCACAAACAAATGTTATTACGGTGCTGTCATCCCCGTCCAAGCTGATCACATCCTCTAAAATTGTTCGTAAAGATTCTACCACTGTTTGATTGCCTTCATTCCACAGAACTACAACGTTAAGGCAATTAGGTTTTACGTTGGTCTTTAAACCTTCATTTAGAAGATCTCTGACAGATGACCTGTGTGTTTTGTTCCATTTTGCATGACTGTCTTCAGACAGAGTCTTCTTGTCTTCCCGATAACCTCGAACAGCCAGCCAACAAATTGCGTGATCAGGGTTTAAATCTAGTTTCGAATCTTCAGGCGATTTAAGAAAACGGTCCCGTTCAGTGTGGTACCGGTCATTAAGTTTTTGAAATAGGTCAAATAAATGACCTGATTCTTTTGGTTGCTGATCAAAGTCTATAGTCAAAGTCCATTTGGGGATGACAAGTCCATACAGATCCCTTTCATCTTCAGGAAGCTCGAAGGGTGAAGTTACGAGGATATACGAGTTTCCGGCGCTATCAAAGTTTTTGACATGTTCAAGAAACGTTTGGAGATTGAACTCATCAGAATCAAATTTAAACCTGCCCATTAAATCATCAAGGTTGACCTTACATAACTGTCGGTCGTTCTCTTTTTTGAACATATATGTATCAATGGGTTTGATCATATGGATCGGATAAGGAGACCGGTTCACTTTAACCTCAACGACACAAATTGTGTTCAAAATATTTTTCAATTCTTCCTCATTTATTGTCTGCAACCTAAATTCGGATGACTCTTTAACAGATTTGGAGTTCTTTTTAACAGATTTGGAGTTCTTTTTAACAGATTTGGAGTACTCTTCAACAAACTGTTTGGCTAGATTTTCAGGAATGGGCCTTCCTTTTTTCGCTGAAACTATACAAAAGCGCTGGGATCTGATTGGAATTAAAGCGGAATGAATTCCTGGCGACGCTTTCTTAGTGAAATTTGGCCACTTTTTACCAATTTCTTCACTCGGACCAGCAATGACGGAATACAATTTGCTACTTGTTTGATCGCCCAAGCCCGACTTTTCGACGTTTTTAACAATAAGCTCCAAAGGTACGTTAACAGGATGAAATTCGATGCGATATTGACTTCTACCAACTGGAGGATAAAAATTGGCAAGAATTTGCGCAGTGGTTTGGACAAGTTCTTTTCTTTCCTCCTTTGACAACACGACGCCAACAATATATCCTTCTTTCGAATCCTCGTCTTCCTGCACGCCGAAAAGTATACTTCCCCCATCAGCGTTGAGGAAACCACATACATAATTCGCAAGATATCTATCGCGGATTATTTTTGCTGGATTTTCCCCAAAAATCATTTTCAACTCGTTGTGTTGATTTTCGTAGTCTACTTTATTTAAAATTTTATATTTATCTTCCATTTTACGATTTTCTTCATTTTGTTCATCTTCTTCGTTAGCACAATCTTCCTCAGGGATTTGTTCGATTGGCCTACTTGCCAGAGAATCAAGTTCATTGAACAAATGCTCATAATTATTTATTCGTCTATTTTCTGCTCCAATACGTTTAAACGCATGGACGTCTGAACCTTTAGAGAAGTATACTTTGGCTTCGCCTTTTGGTACGTGAATCCAACACAGTGTTCTGCTGCTCTTCTTGCCAAGCGGCAGTAAGTAAACAAAGCATCTCTTTCTATGAAAAAGATCAATTGCGTCTCGAATATTTCGACAGATATCTGCTCCATCGTTAGATTCAGGCAGTATGTTTCCAATAGTTTTACATAATTCCTCGCACCATTTCTTCATTTCTCCACTGTTTTTTTCTATGCCAACTATTTCGCCATTTTCTTTAGCGCCGACAAATATTTCACCATCGAATGTATTTTTGAAAGCGATAACGTACTGCAGTATGAGTTCGTCTTCAGCATTGGCGTCACAGTAAACTCTCTTCAAATCGTTGTCGACAATAAAATCACCAACATTCAAGTCTAATTCATTAACACTTTCGGGGTCGAATTGTTGCGGCCACCACCAAGATTGTGAAAGTTGCCTTGTTATCTTTGGTGGTTTGGCTTTCAGGTAAATCAGAGCATGATCATCCGACTCAATAATTAGTTTAAAGTTCAACATCTCACAACCGATCTTATTCACAAAATCGTCGCCTTTATCCATTTTTTCCACTCGCCCTTTAACACCCACATGCATACCCTCGAAAATTTTCTTTAAAATATTAATAGCGTTTGGTCTCAACGGGTTGAGTGAAATGACAATCTTAAGAGTATTATAAAATCTCGCGGCTCCCTTAGGGTCGCTTCTGATATACAATGTCCCAAAATTTTCGCCTAACTGTGGATCACTCGAGCACACGCCAGTTATTGCAATAATGTCACCGAGGATTGGTGCTGGCGATTTACCATCACTCTCAAAGTCCTCAAGCGGCGATGACTCTCCTATTTCTTCAAGAGCGTCAACTTCACCAAGGAGCTGTTTTCGTGGGCTACATTATAGGAAGAGACAGCCAAATGAGTATTCGAATAGAAGACTTTTGTGCCTTTATGCAAGGGGAAACAGGACGAAGTAACAACGAAGTAAAATCATTATGCCAAATTACGAGTATTAATTTGGTATGAGAGTTAAGAAGCGATAGTAACTGCGGATATGGGTTTTTACGGACCGCTCGTCAACCAATCAGAATAGAGAATTTTGAAAAGCCACATAGTGATAATTATTCGAGGCACGCAATATATTTGCATTGCATACATAGAACATTGTAAAAAATTATTTGATATTAAATACCTATTCGAATTATCATTTTCCCGATATCCAGGACCTTCGATTTGCTTGGAAATATTAGTATCATCAGTATCACATTGTACTTCTTTTTTTCGTTCCAGCGGCATAATCGAATCAGGTTCCACTATATCTAGAATTAAGTTGCATGTGTATATAGTTGATTTTATTTATGGTGTTACGGCTATATAGCATGTATTTTTACGATTTTTCCACATCTTTCCTATATTGATGATATTATGGGGTACCAAGTTGGTTTTATTCCTCAATAATAGATGCCATTTACCGGTCAAGTTCGCCCGAAAAGAATAAATTAGTCTCTGTCTGTTACTTGGTAAATTTATAGTTACAGGCTTAGCTTTTGGTTCTCCAAAGTAGCGGATATGAGATTGCCGCAGCAAACAACTTTTCTGAATTCCTATATCTACCTCGGTCGTTCGGTAAATGTTAGATCGTAGCGTGATTATCAATACAGCATATCTCGTTAGCGAATCGGTTAGCGAAGAAAAATTAAGTGCATGTCATATATGTAAGTCTTTCAATTAAATTTGATGTTACTAGCAGTCCTGACCATGATATACCTGTATGGTCCTTGCTTTCAACCTTCTCCTTGGTCGATTTTTGATAATTCCGCCACATACCGAACAAAATCCTGCCACAATCTGGGGAATGTTTTTCCCAGTCTTCCTCTTTTAGCACATTTAATTCATTGCTATTGAGCGATTTCAAATCGGACACCTCACTAGCATCTATCCCTAAAAGTTCGGTTGCTTTTTCAAACCATTGTACAATCTGTTCTTGCAACGACTCTTGTGAGTTGTCTAAAAGAAAAAAACGTATATAAATGACAATTTCAGCACATTCACCGCATTCACAAAAACTCTTCCACAAACCCGATGATTGTTCTTTATTCGTTTTTTCAATTTTTTCTTTATTTTTTTTCGCTCTTTGGTTTCTTTTCTTCTTCCTATCCATTCCTGCATGTATATTTGTAAAAATTTAGGTATTGAAACTGACACTATCAACCTCATGACGAAAGCCATATGAGAAGATACTACTAATGAATATGCGAGACGTGGTGCATGAGGTTGTGAAACTTGTACTCTAATTTCTTTCTCTAACAAAATCGGGCCGCGAAAAAATGAAACAAAAATACCATTTATTACACTTATTACAAGGCCTACCTCCATATAATGGAGAGGACAATTCAATTGTTGAACCATGATATATTTCTTGCTCAAACAATGTTTTTTCTCTGTCGACCTATAAAGTTTAGGTACATATAGAAATAAATAATTGTATAATTATGCACCGCCATGTGACCTCATAAAATAATCTGAAGTTTCTTTATCGCCAGATAATTTATCTATATAAAACGTAAATTGCATGATGGGAACCATGCATGTTGATTTAACAAAATATATTTATTAAATTAAAATGTTCATACTTGAAAATTAAAATGTTTAAACTTTTTCTAACAACTGAAAGAATATTTTTTCGCTTTTCTATCGATACACCAAAACAGAATTACTGCATGATAAACATTTTAACGATACCAAAGCGCATGTTCGGGAGGTGTTTTAGAGCAACAAACTGTGTACAATTAAAGCTATAGACCTAATATTTCATCAAATTTAGATGGCATTAGTGTAGTGTTTATCTTACTGTAGAGTTTACTTCAACCAAACCGGCTATCACACACATACTTTCTCCTTTTGTGTGCTTTTTATATGTACTATGATTAAATACATACATAATTATAACATTTTTTTTAAATACCTCTTTTGCTCCAAACATAAAAGTACACTTCGTCACATCGTCTCCAAATTCTTGTGCTAACACATGATACAGATTACTGCCCAAAGAAAACAGGTCGATATTGATTGCTTCTAGTTCGGAATTGCTCTTCCTTACAAAGATTTGACTTTTATAGGAACCAGTCCAGCTGTTTCTAAATAAAGGTTTCTGTTATAATTGTTTGTATTTTTAAATGGAACTGAAGGGGTTGAGGATGGACTTTTCTGACCTTAATCCTCCACCCCAGTGGATTACTAAGAGGTTGCTCGCATGCATATAATTAACATCCATAGATCAATTACCTTGTTGTTAGTAAAGAAGCTTCATTCGATTCATTGCTTTTATTTTCAGACGTTATATCTGGAATTATTTTCTAAAATAAAGTTAATAACTTCAGTATTATTAGCTCTTTGTATAGGGACTCTATATACTGGCACTGAAAAGTACCAGTGTTGTATGTCCACTAAGGATTTTGAACTGCATGCGACGAAACAAGTAAACCAAAAAAAAATTGGCTAACGGGCTAATCGGAACGGCAGATATTAATTTTATATCACTACCTGGTAACTTCGGTTGACGTTGTGGACCAATGACTTTCTAGTGACAGAGTGTGCATTACTAGCTGTGATCGTGGAACGCTTTGATCTTCCTTTCGTTTCTAACAAGTCAACACGTGCTTAATAAGGTGGTATTAGAATTTACATATACTTACAAACATTAATAAAAAGTAATAAACTTACTGTATAATTACACATTTATCATACCAATGGATATATCAAATAAGTTATTTTACATCAAGAGTCAAGGCCCAAAGGATGAGAATTAAATTGATGCATCCCAGAAGTAGCTACTACATCCTTGTTGCTCTTCCATTAATTATATCAGATATATATATGCATGTTATTTACCCGAGTGGAGGTACGGATAGGGAATTATTTCCCAAGGTCTCAAAACTGGTAAATAATAGATTTATTTTTTTCTACGGACCGCTCGCGTAACCAATCAGATCGCAGGAAACGCTAAAATATGAATTCGGACCGCAAGAAAAAAAATAAACATATATCATTATTATTTTGTAGTTATGAAAACAGAGCATGAGAGATTGAAAAGATAATAGGATACTAATTTAGTACCAATATAGTACTTTAAAATTACTATATCTGGTCATGCAATTTTTATATGATCACTGAGTATGACACTTCTAATTTTAGAGTGCACTGCAGCCATATCTAGTTCTTCTTTATAATACACTCGTATTGCACTATATAATTAAGAATTGGCGTAAAACCCTTTTTTTGCATAGGATATATAAGCGCGAATTCCAAAGGCAAAATGTAAGACAAAGTGAACGTATCATGCGGTTTATTTACATATTTGAACAGTTGAACTTTTATACTTTTTAAAGTACGATGTGCTTCTGAATTTCACGATCGAACAACATTTAGGTTCGCAAGGCATCTAAATGAGTATGAACTGTATTGTTTTAAATGTTTATGTTCAAAAGCTTATATTGAAGACTGGCACGTGCGCGGCACGCCGGAGTTAACGCCAGAACAGGCGTCTTGTTTCTATTTACTGGCGTGGTGGCAGCGATTTAGCATTAAACTGTAAACAACTACGGACCTCAATTCTGAACGTCAATCCGATAAAGTGGATTAAAATCTACCTCTAAAGGGGTTAGGAATACTCTCAGACAAACAAGTCAAAGACGAGCCAGTTCACATCTCGAATTGGTAAGTGTATTACGAAGTTTCATTAGCAAGCAGTAACAGCTATCATGCCCTAATATACGTGCCCCAAAGCAATGGGCTCTTACAAAGCAGGAGACTATAACGAAGCCTGGCGACAAAACCTCCAATACACACTGTCTTTAGACCATAATTTCGCTACATTTTTACTCGAAGACACAACGTGGTTGCGAAAAGCTTCCACATCCCCCCGACGTGGTCTCGAAAGCGATGGCGAAGACATTCCCGAAGCTAACAGGCGTACCGCCGCTCAAAAACTGGCCCATTTAGAGTGAATGCTCGGTCAAATAGCTAACTATTGTCCGGTCACCTCACGTAATATAATCGCGAAAAGCTCAACCTCCATCCAAGGAATTTGGCAGCCACCCGCGTCCATTATGGTTTCCAGTCCACAGGAGCCCACTTTTTCAACTTCAACGACATTCATCTTGGAACCCGATGAGCGCCTAGAGGACCTGTACCAGCGACTCTTGAGCTTCATCGACGCTAGCCTCCTAAAAGCCAATGGAAGTATCCAACATCACGGTGAAAATCTTCGAACGGACGAAGAATTCACACCCACACCCAGACCTTCCTGCCCTGGTTAAACAGCGCTACGGCACCGAGCTCCAATCAAAAACCTTGGCCAGCCTCAAACCCGAAATTTCACAGGCTCTTGACAACGCAACGGCCCCAAACAACCTGCGAGCAACAAACGGAAATACTATACGTTGCGCTTTGTGCAGACAAGCAAAGCGGCCAGAGTACCAGCATTACTTGAGTAAATGCCCATTTTTGCCTCAAGAGGATCGAAAATACCTATCACGAGCACGACATGTAGCTGGCGAGCAGGACACAGAACCTGAACAAAAAGTCCACCCACCTATCAAGAACCTCCGAGTCAACGCTACCACCCACAGAGTCGGCACCCCCAGCCTGTCCCCATACCTGAAAGTGTTGTACAACTACCATACTGTCCACCTCACACTTGACACTGGAGCTGAAACTAGTATGATCAAAGCATTTGTTGCCAAGAAAATCGGGGCTACTATCCAGAAAACAAAGCAAACAGCTTTACAGGCTGATAGCATTACTCCCTTGAATGTCATTGGTGAAGTCCACCTCGATTTATCACGTAAATCACATTCACTCCACCTTGAATGCGTTAGTCGTAAATGAGCTGGACGTTGACCGCGTTCTGGCGGGAATTCCATTCATGGCTGCCAATGACATCTCAATTAGACCCTCCAAACAACAAATCACGATAACAGGTTGCGACACTACCTCTTACAGCAACACCAACACCAACCCAAACCGCATCAGGCGAACTTAAGCACATGTTCTCCGTGCCCTATCCACCACGTCGGTAGTTTGGCCTGGGCAATATTTAGAGCTTACTTTACCCAGTGAGCTCGATCCTGACTCCACCCTTGCTGTGGAACCACGCCCTGATTATGTAAAATCCGCCTTAGACTGGCCTCGCCCACACATTTTAGAGGCAGTAGCTGGTTGTGTTCGCATTGTAAATGACACCACTGAACCTAGAACCATCCCTCGTCACAAGCACTTCTGCCAAGTTTTGTCGACACAAACTATGACGAAATGGAACTCTCTCAGTCCCGCTTCGACCCACCACAACCCATGCCAGAAAGAGAACGATGTGCCTATTCTTCCACTATATCCGTATTCTTCCACTATATTCGACCAAAGATGAGGTATTTGACCCTACTATCACCGGATACAATGGTGCAGTTGGTCCATTTCAAGCTGTCGTTAATATGGGCCCAGTTCAGCTCCCGCAACGAAAAGGTCGTCTTCCCCTGTACCCCCACAATAAATTAGTCGAGCTCCAGAAGAAGTTCAATAAGTTAGAAGCGCAAGGGGTATTCCAGGTGTCACACTCGAATACTTAAATCCGTCCTTTTTCGTCACCAAGCTTGGTCACCGCGTTTAGTGACGTCGGCATTTATAGCAAACCCCAGCCGTCCCTACTTCCAGATGTCGACACCACACTACGTACCATCGCCAAGTGGAAATACATCATTGTCACTGATTTGACAAGTGCATTCTACCAAATACCATTGTCAAAGAAGGCAATGAAATATTGCGGTGTTGCCACGCCATTCCATGGGGTACGCGCCAGTACGCGTATACACACGGTGTGCTATGGGGATGCCCGGATCAGAAACTGCATTGGAAGAGTTAATGTGTCGCGTGCTGAGTGATTGCCTAGAGGATTGTATTATAACCATGCTTGCAGATGACCTCTACTGTGGAGGGGACTCACCTGAAGATCTCCTTGACAACTGGCGTCGAGGTATTCAAGCACTCTAGAAATGCAATTTACATCTATCACCCTCAAAAAAACTGTCATTTGTCCCCGATCAACCACCATACTCGGTTGGATATGGACACAAGGAAGCTTATCAGCCTGTCCGCATCGCATTGCCACCTTGCCCGCCACCTGAAACTGTACGGGGCCTCCGTTCATTCATTGCTGCTTATAAGGTCTTAGGCCGTGTCCTGCCAAAGTGCTCCTATATAATTGGCCCATTAATTCGACAGATAGATTTGACAGATACATTGCGAGAGCACTTCAATGTCGCCCAAAGCAGTCTTGCTACGCGAAAGGCTATCACACTGCTCCAACCAAGTGATCTACTGTGGATCAGTACTGACGGTTCAGTTAGTAAGCATGACATAGACGCAACCCTATATACATCACCCGCAACGAGAAGCTGCGTCTCGCAGGGTTCTTCAGTGCAAAACTATGCAAACATCAGGTAACCTGGTCACCCTGCGAAATTGAGGCTCACAGTATCGCTGCCGCTGTGAAGCACTTTAGTCCATTCATTATCCAATTTACCCAACAAGCATGCCTACTGACTGATAGTAAACCGTGCGTCCAGGTATTCGAAAAATTATGCCGCGTGGAGAATTTTCAGCTAGCCCACGCGTTACCTCATTCCTTTCCACGATCAGCCGTGCAACAAACCAAAATACCAGATCTGCAATTTCGTCATTTCGACTGAGGATTCTGTAGTCCGTTTCTCATCCGTACAAGATGTTCCCGCATCATCGCAACTTCCATTCACCACAAGATCATTCTGGATTAAAATTCAATCAGAATGTCCGGATCTCCGATGCACTCACACCCACCTCAAACAAGGCACCCGCCCATCAAAGAAAATCACGAACATCAAGGACGTCAAAAAATATTTGAACGTCGTAACCTTTGCCAGAGATGGCCTTTTGGTTGTCCGCCGTACTACCCCCTTTCCCCTTCCACCGACCTAATCGTCGTCCCACGGGCCGTCCTTGATGGTCTCGTAACCGCTCTACACATAAAGCTGGAGCACCCCTCTAAGCACCAACTACTACTTCATATGAAGCGTCATTTCTACGCCCTCGACATGACCAAAGTCGTCGATCGCGTCTGTCAGTGAAACATGCTATACGTGCGCATCGTTACGCAAGCTACCCGAGCCACTAATGAACTGACTACCCGAACCAGTCAACAGAAAATTTACCGGCAGACGTACTTAAACGATGCAAACAGAACATCCTCGTACTACGCGAAACTACAACATCATACACCGTAGCAGCCATCATATCCGACGAGAAGAGTACCACGCTCCGTGAAAGCTTAGCACGTTTGTGCATCGCACTGCGACCCCTGAGTGGTCCACCTGCCACCAAAAGAGTCGACCCAGCCTAAAAGATGATCCCTCCCTGTGAGAGCTTGGTATATCAGTGGAGAACTCCAAAGTCAAGTTGCGCTAAAACTCCATAACTTCATCTTGGCGATCTCGTATATTTACCCTTTGATCATGACAACACTCGTCCACAATCACCAAAGTACTTTGAATATAAGACTTGGTATGAATATAGACCAGTATGATACAGTTACGTTCGTTAGATTATCTAGTATATAGCTACAGGTAGTAGATAGCCATTATATTAGGTTAATAGGTAATAGGTTAGCACGACACACATGACCAAGGTCCAAGGTATTCATAGAAAGATCTGTCTGATCTACAGGTGGTTCGTCGCTTTTTGTGTCTTGTATACTATCGTTCTAAAGTTAATACAACGTTCGTCTTGAGATTATTTCTATTTATACTGGCGCTGCCTAGCTTCCTACAGGTATTATCTGGTATTAGTTTATTAGATTATTAGTTATCTGGTGTTAGTGGCGTTCGTGACACAGTAGCACCTGAGTCAAGTGCCAACCATCATAATGTAATATTGTTTTTTTAGTACATGCACATTCCTCACAAAGCGGGTGGCGCCGCTTTTTTGCAACACTATATACGGGGAAAACCACACACAAGAAAGGCTGTGATGTTTGCACCAGTCTTCGCTAGGCTAGTACTATTTATAGTCAACGTAAAGTGAACTAGGTAAATCTACTGTAGGTCTCGTCAGCGGTAATTATTAGGTCATGCATTTTGAAAATACTAGAAAATATCTAATTTTTTAGATTTGTTTATATAGTAATAAAGGTAGCTATATACTACGATATATACATACCATTTGTAGGCTCAGGAATGCTGTCTAGGTCACCAGCTTCTGTTTCAAAGGGCAGTGACCTTTCTTGACATGTTGTTTCAAACCTCTCGAATTCCTATGTAAAGAAATACAGTCAACAAAAAACTAGCACATGGTAATGGTATATAATTTGCAAAGAGAGCAAGGGTGCATGATTAACAAATAAAAGACAAACAGACACGATAGTCGATAGATTCATAGACACTCAGCTTTTATGGAAGCTGAATTACATGAAATATTACAATATCATGCACTCGTAAACTGATACTTGCAGTCTTTTTTGTTATTAAAATTAGGAGTATGTTTTTAAATTCAGGATGAAGCATTCGTCAAGCTAACATCAGTGCATGTCCAAAACAAAGCCGATTCAAACAAAGTTAGCTATATTATATAAGCTATGTTATAAGGCTATAAGCTACTTTTAATCGATGTGTAAATACATGCATATACAATACATGCAAAATCATTGATTCTATAGCTATATTTTGAATACTACTCGTGCGTATATAGACTATTTGATTCAATAACCAAAAAGTAGTTAAGAGTTTAAAAAATACCTTTCTACATATTTCATTTTCTTGTTCCACTGTAATTTTTTTAGATTTCTTCGCCATGTGAAGGCGACATAAACGATGATCTTGTTTTACTTCTCCAGAATTGCCGACGAGAAACAGTTGCGGTTTGGTCACCAACCGTCGTTTCTGACGCTTCTTCATTTTATAATTGTGACGACTGTAAAAACAATTTTCTTTGTCTTTGTTTTGCATGACAAATTAGGATAGCCGTGCATGTACAATAAATATCACTACATAATAATGTTTTATTACCTTTCTCTTCGGGAAACTTTCAGATATTACATTTCCATGCAAACTTGCCGCAAACAACAAGATACCACGCGATACTATGGACGAAGGATTATCATTAAAATTTAATAAACCTTCTTTCAAAAATAATTCATAATTTATAAGCATTTTAGGCTATAAATTGAACCATAAGAAGTCACGTGTGGTGGCTTTATACATGGTATAGTGAAGTATTATGGACGCTAATTAGGATGGCACATTATATAATTTATCACGTTCATTAGTATAAGAATGATATTGTATACATAACATGTAAATGTTCATGAGTGCAATGGTAAGAATATTTTCATGAGGTGAAAGATGGAATGTTGCATTCAACGAGGCGAAACCTAGTTGAATGGAGCATTCTATCTTTCACCGAATAAAAATATTCTTATACCATTGCATGTCTGATTGCACGAATGAAAACATTTATTATTCGTCAGTATATGACACCAAAAAAGATCAACTTAATGAATTATTTTTATTAAGTAAACATATTGCAAATGATGCATACTAAAAACACAATTAAAACTGAGTGAAATTTAGTGAAAGCTAGAAAATGGAAATTTCTATTTAATGCCATGTGATCAAAAACAACCAATTAATCATATTCAAAACGTGAGGCGCAGCCGATACAACGCTCCTTCTCGTGTTTTAAATAGTACATATACGCTTATAAAAACTATAATACCTATATCTACAATGAAGGAATATCGTCGACGCCCGTTGATTACGTTAAATTATTATTATATAATTATATGATAAAGAATTTATTCAATTAACAAAATTCATGCGCAGTCGCATGTTGTGTTTAAATCTTGTCAAAATAGAACTGTTTCAACGCGTTTTTACATATAATATTTAATTAATATAACTGAAGACACAACAATTCAGTAACACTTTTTTAAAAACGCCTTTTGGGATTTCCTTTTTTTGGCAGTGGGATTTCCTAAGAATTGCACTGCTTTGAATTGAGAATTTTTTATGTATATTATTAGAATATAAATGTACTAAAGTAATACTACAGATATAGGCGTGTGTAGAAATCACACTTTCCATATACGGCCCTGAGGATCCCACTAAGGCCCCGATTACATGGACCGGGCTAGCCCGTTTCAGTAATTTTTGACGTTTCGATTGCATGCGAACTTTCAGGCCCGGTTATGTCAACCGGGCTAGCCGGGGTAGCACACGTGGACAATAAGCCGACTCTACCAGGCGGTAAAAATCAAATGGCAAAATTAACTTTAATTGACAACATATTGTAACCCACAACAGAATATGCCCAAACGTACAACTACAGTGAACTTCCGGGTGTCCCAGAAAAAAGTACTTCGGTTTGATTCATAATAGCTTCTAAACTCGCTAAGCTATTAAACTGAAATAACTTTCACTAGATACAGGGAAGACAAACTTAGATTTTGATATATTACAGTTGTATTTTACTTTAAAATTTACGGAGATATCAATGTTCAAAATTGGTAGCATATTTCTGGATGTGTCTAAATTATGCAAAAAACGCCGTATCAAATATTAATCAAGCTTTTCTCAACTGAAACATGCACTATTAGCAGTAAATAAATGACACTTGAAAAATTGTTTATTATGAAACGAAGTATTATTAGTTACAGAAAACAAGGAAGATTTATTCGTTCGGAATCGCGTGTCCCCCAACACGAATGCACTGCCTAGCCTGTGAGACCATTATGTCGAAGGAGTCATGGATCATTCGTTGTTCTAGATTACGGCATGAGCTGTTACAATTGAGTTGCGAAGCTCTTCTAAATTCTGCGGTTGCTGATCGTGTGGTACATTCCAAATTTGCTGCTTAAGGTATCCCCAAAGAAAAAAGTCGCATATTGAATTATTTACTGCTAATAGTGCATGTTTCAGTTGAGAAAAGCTTGATTAATGTTTGATACGATACGCGTTTTTTGCATAATTTAGACACATCCAGAAATATGCTACCAATTGACCATAACAAAAAAGATGGCGGATGTACATTTTACCAGAATGCATTGTGGTCGGAAATCGTTTAAAAAAGCGAAATGACGTCTTTCAAAGGACAGACATAAAACAGGAAGTTATTTTCTTCGCTGTGTTAAAATTTCACGTCATTAGGAGTTTTTCATGCCATCTTTTTTCAGTAAATCATTCTTAATGCCCGCCATGCATTATGGTAAAACGTACATGCCGCCATCTTTTTCGTTACGGTCAATTTTGAACATTGATATCTCCGTAAATTTTTAAGTAAAATACAACTGTAATATATCAAAATCTAAGTTACTTTTTCCTCTATCTAGTGAAATGTAATTTCAGTTTAATAGCTTAGCCAGTTTAGAAGCTATTATAAATCAAACCGGAGTACTTTTTTCTGGGACACCCGGTACATGTTGCATGTGTTACTGAACTTGATATTTGCATGACCTTCTCCCGATTATTAACAACTACGTATCATCTCACTGCTTATCCGTACAGAAAACGAGGCTGAACGACCTAGCTATAGCGCTGATGACTGATCTGCAAACAATTTTTAAATCAATGAAATGCAAAATACCGTATAGGACATGACAGGTGGCATCTATTTAGTATACAGTACACAGCCAAATCAGCAAATCGTGTCGAGACCGGTTTGTTTGTTCATACAAACAAACTACCTGCAAATAAGTATAATTTGTCGGAAATCTAGAAATCAATAATAATGACATCCATGGCCAGCCCTCACTGCGTAATAATTTGGGGAAATTGTACTGTTAAACACAATGTAATACCACAGCTAACTCTGCGTCACTGCATGACACCTATGGAATTTCTGGCTTTCAGTTCTGGCTTATTTCTTGTCACTGAGAATTCAGCTGTTTCCTTTCTTATTATTGGCAAATTATCCACTCTGAAAATCACGATTTTTAAACTTGTATTATGAAAAGAATAATTACGTTGCCGCGTTTAGTTAGCCTCTTTGCCTTTGGTACCAAACTGCAACTTGTTTTGGTTTTAAAGCGATTAAGAGCGTGAAATTTGATGTATACTACATTGCCAAAATCATGGATTGAAATACATTGACGACGCCAGTCGAAACTGAAAACAATTGTTAATTCCCTCACCTGTTTGTACTGTTGCTAAGAACACGGTCTCCGTCTGTAGCCGCTTAAAATACTTGGTCTTGGTGTCTTGGAAGTTAGCTGGTAAGAGGCGGAAGCAATACATGTATTGAAATGGAAAGAGGATGTTGTGACGAACGACAATCTCCTAATATGCATATGCCCAACAGGTGGGCATTTTGTTCGCGCTGACCGAAAATTGCGGGCTTATTTCTTCTTCAATTTGCATTTTCGCGTCGAAGAACTAAAAATACAGACTTTGGTGCAATATTTTTGCTATTGAACGTAATTATTCTCTTCATAATACCAGTTTAAAAATCGTGATTTTCAGGATGGATAATTTGCCAATAATAAGAAAGGAAACAGCTGAATTCTATCTAAAGCATGTTCATTAAAAATTGCTATCGTTATTGAGAAAGAAAAGCGGTTTACGAAAGCTAAAATGCGTCGAAATCAGTGGTCGAAATCCGTTACGAAATGGAATGTATTTTGGTTGGCGAAAAATGAAATAACTTTGCATCTCGACACCAAATACAGGATTTTTGCCACAGCTGCAGAGCTAGTTGGATTCAAGCTGATGTCAAAAAGTAAGTCACATTTGTTCTTCATAAAATAAGATGTCAGTAAAATGTCTGAGAAGTGGTTCTAAAGCTCAATCTTGCGGATGACACAGTTGTCAATTAATATACCTCTACTAACGAATTTTATTGCAAATCAATCCATCTTCATTAAAGTATAGCTCGAAAATTAAGGTATCCTCACACCCTGAAATTAGGCTTAAATCAAAGTTTTATCTATAGTCTTTTTATTAGAATTAAGATTCAACATATAGGAAAAATGCACCAAAGGGCTAAAATTAGCATTGTATGTGTCCACTATTTTTGACATGTTTTGTTTGGTATTTTGAAAAGGTCACCAGGAAAAAAAAAAGAAAAACAAAACAAAACCAAGGCGAATTTTCAACTCCGTCGCTCAATTCGCCGGAGTAATTAGTTACACGTTTCCGCGCGTAATACAAAAGTATACAAAATATGCCAACTTCGCATGGCTATATTCATGGCCAGAAAATTCGGACATAGTTAACATTCTACTTCCGCCTAAATTTGCATATGGTGTCAAAATAAAGCTTCGTGAGTGTAATATTGCTTGTTTCTTACGCTTTTTCTAGGTATCTTTCCATATCCTTTACATAACTAGATCTCCCTCAATTAATGTCAATCAATCCCCTAATCAATATCAAGTCTATATTTAGCTATTACTGTCCGTGCCTATATATATATATACATTACATCTCTCCCTTTGTTTAATGAATTATCAAGTTTGGGTTTATTGCATTTCCAAAAAGTTCTCTCTGTCTACGCTGCCTTGTTGACCTTCTCACCACTGGTTCTGGCGTTGGTTCATCCGCTGCTCGTTCGATGAGTGCATTTCCTGTCGGTGCGTTCCAATCATCTTCATCTTCGGATTCCTTTGCGGCGTCTGGTATCTTCTTAAAGAACGATACATTTCTTGTCACCTTATGTCTTTGCTTTTCAGCTACTATTGTCACTCCTTTACGTTCAAGCACCGTGTAAGGAGTTGGTTCGAACTTGGTTGTAAATTTGTTTTTCTTTTTCTGTCTAAGAATGACTGTGTCTCCCACTTGTATCTCTGACGGCGCCACTCTCCTTCGTTTGTTTGCGTATTCTCTCCCTTTGTCTTTGGCATTGGAGTCATTCGATTTGGCTTCTTTATGTCTGTTTAGTACTTTAGCTTTTGGGTTCAACATGGGTAAGACTCCTCTGACAGGCCGATTAAAGAGAAGCTGAGCGGGCGGTATGTTGGTAGAACAATGGGGTGTGGTGCGATAGCTTAACAGGAACCTCGAAAGTTCTTGGACCCAGTTACGATGTTCTGAACGAGCGGTCTTGATTGCTTTTGCTAAAGGTTTCATAAAAGCTTCTGCTTCTGAGTTACCTTGTGGCCATTCAGGTGTTGATGTCTCATGTTCTACGCCAATCTTTGTTAAATAATCTTTGAATTCTTTACTATTGAAAGGAGGACCGTTATCCGTCTTTATTTTCAGTGGAATTCCATGCCGCGCGAAGATAGCATCGGTTTTTGGTATAAGTGCTTTAGCAGATGTACTTGTGATGATTTCAGCCTCCGGGTATCTTGAGTATTTATCAATTAACACTATGATATACTGTCCGGTGGGAAGCGGGCCGTAGAAATCTGCATGTACAGTTTGCCAAGGACCGTCCGGCGTTTCTGGAGTTAGTAAAGGCTGGGGTGGATCGGTTGGACCATTAATTTGGCACGGAAAGCAGGTATCGATCTCTTCTTTTACAGCTTTATCAATGTTAGGGAACCAGGCATACTGACGTAACAAGGCTTTTGTTTTGACAAGTCCTTGATGACCGCTGTGGGCAAGTTTTACTATCTTCGCTTGTAGAGTTGATGGTATTATAATACGTGTTCCTCGGAGGATTACACCATTTGTATGGTCCACTGTTATTTCATCTTTGACGTTTATGAATGGTTTTACATGACTGCTGCCCCAGTTACCAGACTCAACTGCTTCTCTTACTGCATTGAGACTGGGATCCTTTTCCGTATGTTCCTTGATAACTTGTATTGGAATTGTGGTTTGCGCGGCATTAGTCGAGATGAAGTTTATGTATTCTTCAGCAAGATTGTGTTTTGGTATCTTCGATTGCGGATGTCGTGACAGGAAATCTGCTGGGTTAACACTGCCTGGTTTGTAGATAACATTGAAATGGTATTGCTGAAGTCTTAGAAACCAACGTTCTATTCTAGCTGGAGGTTTGGACCGAGGATTGTTGTAGATCAACTGTAATGGCTTGTGATCAGTAATTAGGTTGAAAGGTGCACCGAACAGGTAAAGGTGAAAATGTTCAATGCCCCACACGATCGCGAGAGCTTCCCTCTCGGTTTGTGAGTACCGTTGTTCTACTGGGGATAATGCTCGGCTGGCATAAGCGATAGTGTTGTCTTCGTTTGTTTTTGGATCCTTTTGCGTCAATATGGCAGATAAACCAACGGGACTTGCATCCACCAGGACTGAGGTTTCTTTGGATGTATCGAAATGGCTCATAACTGGACTGTTAGTCAGAGCACTCTTTATGTCTTCATATGCTTTCTGGTGTATTGTCGTCCATGTAAAACGAGCGTTTTTTTGGGTCAACTTTCTGAGTGGCTCTGTAATGGTCGCGTAGTTTTTGATGAACTTAGCGCTGTAGTTAGCCATTCCTAATAGACTTCTCACTTCACCGACTGTTGTTGGTGGTTTTGTATTGGCGAAAGCGTCCACTTTCTTGGGGTCTGGGCTAACACCTTTTTCTGTGAATACCAGTCCAAAGAATTCAAGATTCTTTTTGAGGAATTTGCACTTTTGTAGATTGAGAGTCAGGTTACTCTCTTGCAGACGTGTAAGTACTTCTTCTAATGCTTGGTCATGTTCCTGTCGAGTATTTCCAAACACGATGATGTCATCTGCGATGTTTTTAGCTCCTTGAATTCCTTGTAATGTCTCCTGTAGGGTGTGTTGGAAGAGTTCCGCTGCAGCATTTGTGCCGTAGTTTAATCTTTTATAGCGATATAAACCGAGATGAGTGGAGAAAGTTGTTATTCCCCGAGATGCTGGGTTCAGCTCCAGTTGATGGTAGGCTTGAGTTAGGTCAAGTTTTGAGAAAAACCGAGCTCCGTTAAGCTCAATAGAGACAGCTTCTAGAGTGGGTATGGGATGTCTAGTTCTCTGAATAGCTGTATTTGCTACTCGCATATCTACGCACAATCGAATCTTATCGTCACGCTTTGGGACGACGACGACTGGGGAAACCCACTCCGTTGAAATTCCTTCGGGTATTCTCTCAATGATGTCATCCTGTTCTAATCTGCGTATTTCATCTTCAATTTTTCCGCGTAAATGGAACGGTGCTCGGCGCTGCGGTTGTGCAACTGGTGAAACGGTTTCATCGATAACTAATTCGATTTGTTTGTTCTTTAGTTTCCCAAGTCCACAGAACACAGGGCCATGTTTATCTAGGATGCGTGCGAGGTTTTTATCGCTCGTTGTTGGTGTGATTTTTGAACGTTCTGTTTCCTTGTTTATCTGATTTAAATGGAGACTTACGAGTCCAAGTTCTTGTGCAGTTTCAGAACTAAGTAAACAACCGCCGTCGTCAGAAGTAACAAATATGGTAGCTACCGTGAATTTGTGTTTCGACTCTGCTAAAACGCGGAATTTTCCTTCCATCTTCACAGGTGTTGTGGAATTGAAGGGATATGCTTTCACGGATGTTGGCTGAAGTCGGATATCTCGCAGTTGTTGGAACGTGTGTTTATCGATTACATTTATGCTTGACCCCGTATCAATGGTCATTTTTACTCTTTGTCCATTGAGAGCAATTGACGCTTGCGGGTGTTTTTTGTTTGTTGTTGACCGCGTAACAATATTCTGGACCACTACTGTCGCTGCTAGTGTTGTCCTGGAGGTCTGTGTTAACTGGTCGTAGGTCTTCGCGTGGTTTACCAGTTTGTCTATTTTCTCTCGTGTTGCTACTGCGGCACTGGCTAGCAAATGGTTTAATTTACCACAATTGGCACATGTCTTGTTTTTGGCAGGGCACGGTTTGTTGGTGTGAGGGTAGCTGCCACCACAGTAAAAACATGTCTTATTGGATGTCTTGTGTTTTGTTTCTTTCGCGGTTGGCGTTTTAACTGCTTGAATATTGCAGCTGTCTAAATGTCCTTCAATGTCAGCTGCATGCGTCTTGCTTATTTCTTCCCGCCTGGCTGCGAGCAAAAGATCTTTTAAAACATACTTGGGGTCTCGCAACGCTTGTTTACGCACGCGACTTGACTTTCCTCCAATAACAATTTGTACCATAATTTCGAACTCTACATCTGAAAACTCACAGTTTTTTGACAGTGTTCGTAGACGCGTGTGGTATTGATCTATCGTTTCCGTGTCGCTCTGTTTTGCTTGTCGAAATTTGTAGACTTCGTATAATCGATTTTTTTGAGGCTCGAAGTATTCGGTGAGAAGTTCCGTCGCTTTATCGAAGTCGTCGTCGTTACCAGGGTCTGGAAAGTGTCG